GCATAAACAGCAGCAGCAGTACCAGTGAGGAAGATGATGCTACAAGTATGGATGCTGAGTCCAGTGCCAATCATCTGAAGCACCCGCACCGCCTGCACACATTCATGCCAAGCCAGGGCAATCACCTGCACCTCACGATGCCAAGGATCAAACTAGCACTGCCCATCCAACCGAGGCCAAGCCGAAAAAGACGAAACCGCTCTCGGGTGCTCAAACTATTGCCGTCACTGTCATCGGCGCGTGCATCGGCGTAATTGTTTTTGCGGTTGTTGCGCGGCTGTACATCGCGTACCGACGCCGAAGACGTTTCCACCGTAAGCTATTCCCGGAGGAGTACGGTAACAAGGGTTCCAGGAAGGTTCTTCTAGAGCCCGGCTCAGCGACTGGCTACAAGGACGGCAATGAAGAGTACGACGAGAGTGACACGGAGAACGATGCCCTGGGTGATCAGACTGCATTCCGGTACTATTGGAAGAAGATAGCCAAGCAGGTGACGTGATCTCCGGCATGCCATGATTATTAACTCAACCCGCTAATGTTGTTTCGTGTATAATCCATCCGGATCTTGACTACGCTGTCCGCAACCAGGGACCGATATTGATACCTTCATGATTCAAATGATTTTCACTATCATGCTGTGTACAGCTGACGCAGACTTTCAAGAACATAGCAGCCGATATTTACGTGATACTCTCAAGCTACCGAAACTGCTGGTCCCCTGTACATGTTCTTGAGAACAGTGGATTTTACTTTTTACTCTGTTGAGATGAGTGTACGAATAGCCCTAGATAAATTCTTAGTTATACAGCAGTAGTAAGTCAGATGAAGAAGAGAGAGAGAGAGAGAGAGAGAGAGAGAGAGAGAGAGAGAGAGACTCGGAGAGAGAGAGAGAGAGAGAGAGAGAGAGAGAGAGAGAGAGAGAGAGAGAGAGAGAGAGAGAGAGAGAGAGACTCGGAGAGAGAGAGAGAGAGAGAGACTCGGAGAGAGAGAGAGAGAGAGAGAGAGAGAGAGAGAGAGAGAGAGAGAGAGAGAGATTGATAAGTGCAGACTGCATGCATTGCTGTGAAGTATGAAGATTGCATTGCATACCATGTTGATAGGTACGGTGGATCGTGCAGTGTGTGCGTGCGCGCATTTATTTGTGGCGTATATTACGTGGCTCGCATAACTGAATCGGACGCATGGTCTTGTAGAGTTCGGGCAGATGAATATCTTGCCCAGGGCTACTCTGCCTAAGTACTCCCACATGCACAGGACTGTGAAGTGAACGTGGCTCTATCAATACACTCTACAGCTATGTACTGCGGAAGAATCTCATGCGTGATTTCCACCACCACGACCACCGACTGTGTGCAAAGTATAAGACACAATGCATGCTTGTCGCCCAGTGGCAGACCGCTCGCACAGGCCTATTCTCCTTATCTGAGGATAGCATGTATCCATTGTGCACGTGCTGAGTAGTTTTTGGAGGTTCTGCCTTCGTTGACCCCAGAAAGATGTAGATCGGGTTTTGATATTTTCAGAAGCCAAATACCATGTACTGTCAACTGGGCTAATAACGACTGCGGATAGCGACGATTCATGAATAACGACAGAATTTCCATGCCCAGAGCAAAGTCCCATATAACTGCAATACAAACAATAAGAGGATAGAGAAAGTGTTTTCAACTCCGAGTTTCATGCACTAAGCTCTGCCTCTCGGTATTGAGCACTCTTTTGGACAGCCTGGAACCTCTCTGTTTTAGCTGTAATACATAATAATGAGACCTCGGGTGTAACGACACTTTGCGAATGACACTTTTCTGATGCCCCGTCGAGTGTCGTAATACTCAAAGTTGACAGTACCTACAGTCCATTCATTGGAAACTGGCACCCTAACTTTTTGGTGTCTCCTGCACATAGTTGTAGATATCGTGAAAACAACAGTACATCCTGCATTGTGCGACCCGTGCAATTACTCCTTGCCACATTTGAGGCCAGAAAAGTCCAAGAGCAGGGAAATAGAAATTCAGCCAGGTTTTACAAAATTGGGACAGGTATGCCTCGGCAAAATGTATGGAAAAGCAGATCCAAAACCCTGATTTTGGAGATTTAAAGTGGGTTTTTGATCCTCAATTCGGCCCAAAATCGGACTTTCAAAAGCCAGCGGGACAGTTTCCGATGAATAGACTGTAGCATGCAAAGGAGGAACAGCGCAGATGCAAAGGTGTGCACACATCATGTTGCCTCTGGTGGAGGTCAATTTTTGTCGCCCGCACCATCATAATAGAGAGGTTAAGATGCACGTTATTTCCGACGTGGTGCGCACTTTCACGTCAAATTATTATTTGGCGTAAACCTCCGAATTTCGACGCGAGCTGCCGGTCACTCGCGTTGTTTTCCAACGTGTGAGCCAAATAACGCGAGCTGAACTTTCGCGTCACGTCGGAAATAAGGTGCATCTTTTAAAACCTCTCTTATACTAAGTTATAGCGGAGAAATGGTGGTTAGAACACTCTTTACCAGAAGATTTCAAATTAGAGAGCGCTGTGTGGGCAAGCGTGTATTTACTGCCATTTAAAAAAAAATCAAACTGCTAGTTGTTCCCATCACAAGACGGGGAGGATAATAACGAAGTACACTATGGGTAGTTCAAGAAGGGGCTAAGATCAAGTGTAACTATGTCTGCTCTAGAAGAGCGCACTTCCACAGAATGCTTGCTGTCCATTACGGCAGATGAACTTAATTAAGTAGACCTATGCGGGCGCAGAGGCGTGAACATGGTGTTGAGCGCCTACACGACGTTGAGAATAAGCCAACTTCACCCAGTAGTTACCCAGTAGGATCAAATTATTCCTTCACAAAAACTAAATTCTAATTTGGCTCTTCATAGGAACTTGAACGTTCTTGCTAATGGTCAATTACGGTGTGTTGGCTTAACGTTCATTGACATTATGCTTCTAGATTTTCTATGTAGTCGAAATTGATGGAATCGTTGTCTGAAATCAAGCATGGAACAGTAGCTATAGTCCTTCTATGATAATGATGGTCTTTAAACCAGATTGGCAATTTTGGACAGAAGTGGCACAGCAGTATTGAGAGAGGGAGAGAGAGAGAGAGGGGGGGGGGGGGGGGGAGGGGAAGTGATCCCCCTGGCAAACTCTCTTCCTCTTCAACTAGTGCTTAGCAGTCTTCATCCTTGTAGACGAGTGTGCTGTCGGGTCCCTCTAGGTTACGCCAAGGATTGGCCTTGAGCCGTGGACGGATGACGAAGAATCCAATGGCAACAATGACCAGAAGGAAGACAACGATTCCAACCGAGAGACCAACTGCCAGCCCAACGGTGTGAGAATGTTGAGGCGGTTTTGTAGGCAGGATAGATATAGTGCTGTTACTCGGATCTGAGGGAGGACAAAGACGGCATAAGGAGCACACAGTCATATCATTTGTCCTTTCAACTTGTTGGACTTTTAATTTTCTTACTTTTAAAAGGTGAAACGTGGGCTATCACTGCCTCACTTACACAGACCACTGTTTAAATATGATGCTGTATTTCCGGTCCTGCTAAAGGTTCACCTGTACGCACACATACACCATACATCAGACTACCTCAGTAAGGGGAACACTGACCTAGATCCGGAAGTGGGTTCAGTTTCTGAGGTCGTCACTACCGCGGTGCCATTGCAATCATGTCATTCCCCGGTTACGTGACAGAGACACAAGTGAGGTGCATGCCTGATGCTTTTAAGATAGGTGCCATGAACAGCATCACCTCATAACACCAAGGCAGGGATAGCACAGTGTGCATTGCAGGGGTGAAGTGACATACACCGCAATGCCATAGAATCCCGGACTGCTTCGATGTGCTCCTACCTTTGTATTCGGCAGTCACCGTCCTGCCTGGCCCTCCACTCTGGTCTGTGAGTGCAGAGCAGTGAACAGGCACAATATACACAGAACACAGTGCGCGTCAATTCTGAGTCACGGTTCAGTTTGCACCCTGCACCAGCTAAGCTCACAGCCCGGCAGAGCATACATGCATGTGTGTGCACAAACACATACTGGCTTCTAGTCAGCACGAAGGTAACATATCGAGTATCAACTTCCATTTTCGAATATATGTTCAGTGGGTGGCCGGGTACTCGGGTGCAGCTGTTGTAATCTAATTGGTCTGGCTAGTGCAACAGTGTCATAGATACTATAGCTCCGTCAATGACCGCGTACAATAGCTCTTCACAATATTCTCACATTTAGCAGCTTTAGCAGCTCGCACATGCTAATGATCAATGTGGAAAGCACACACTTGCACCATTTCTGCTGTATAAGGAATGATCATTCCTTTACACTCCATTATCATCATTATCATCCTCTACTGATGAGCTCGACTGAGGAGCGAAACAGCTGTCTAGAGGCCGCTGGCGTAATAATCTGTCAACGGAAGTGTCCTTGCTGTGCTCCGAGCATTGGTTCGGCTGAGAGCGCGTGGTGGTGACGGGTAAATGTAGCAAACTTGGAGTATGGCCGAAAGCTCTGTGGCAATACTTTAAAAGTAACATGGATATACCTACACAAGTCTTTGCCTACTCACCGCTACCATGGCTACAGAACCATGTCACTTTGACACGGTCGCAGTTCTCCACGTTGTTGGCAAGCTTGGTGTAATCACAGATCAGCCGGGCATCGGAATAGGCGAGCTGCTCGAGGTCGGTGGTCGTGTTGCACGTCTGCTCCAGGCAGAAGTTGTCCGACTGGCAGGACCGTGCCGGATCGCCAGGGAACTCGCACGAAGTCTGACACCACAGTGAGTTCTTGGAGCCAGCGTAGTAAGTCGAGCATTGACTAGCCGTCTGCCTGTTGGACTGCAACAGGTGAAGCAGCCAGGAGAACAGAGATATTGGCCGAGTGGGGAAACGAGTACAGCACGAGTGTGATTGCGTATGCATGACCTTGTCATGTATACATGTATTCGAATTCCTAGTCATTTGTAAAATACTAGGAAAGTTTTACTGGCTAAGTACAGACATGCCTAACTAGAGCTAGTCTGTGTACCATATGCAGGGTTCTAGCCAGGTACAAATAGTAGAGGGGGGGGGGGGGCAGGGGAAACAGTTACCCCGCAACCATGGTAACCCATTGTTCCGTTTTCTAAAAGTGTCTTGCCATGCCAAACGCAACACTCTGGGGCGAACCCCGGCTTTCCCCCACAGAAATGCCCCGTTGTCAACCCTCTAGTAGTGACAAAAGACTCGTGAATGGCATGAAAAGACACAAAGAATAGACAAATGAGTAGGGGAGAGGAGGGCGCTCAAACAGAGTAGAGGGGCACTGCCCCCCCCCCCCCCCCCCTGGCTAGAACCCTGACATGTACGAAGACTATACACAACAAAAAGAACTCACATTACAGTTATGATAGCTGGGGCATATGTAGTCCCCCGTTGTGCCTGCCAAGCTGTTCAGGCAATCGGCTATCAGGCGCACACAGGGCGTCATTGCAGCGAGCACACTGTTGCGGCATGCTGGTGAGTCTATGGGCTCGGCTTGCTCTGATAGAATGGTCTGTACCCTGCAGGACAAGCAGTTTAAAGGAGTAATATGACATTCGGTATACAGTGAAGTATTTTGAGCAGAATAGAAGAAGACTGAAGAGACGAAGAGAAGACAAGAAACGCTGGAGCCTGCGCTCTTCTTTGCCTGATGGGTTCTGACCACTTAGGCGAAGAAGCGGGAAGTACGAACTGTGAGTACAGAATATCTTAGGATACATACACCTGTTACAAAAGGCAGGACATAATTATTTCAAGCGGCCGACCGTGTCAGTCTGGCCATCTGATGTTGCCATTCAACAGTGCACACAGAGAGTTGGGTGTGATCATAGTACATATACAGTCAAACCTGTAACTAAAGACCACCGTGACTAGCGACCAGTCTGGTACCACAGACCACTTCGCCAGACACGGACGGTCTCGCATTCATACACCTATAATTATGGTTGTGCGGTGCAAACTTCTAACTAAGGACCACCTGCCACTAAAGACCGCTTTCTCTGGCCCCAAAGGGTGGTCATTAGTCACAGGTTTCACTGTACTGTTTGGTGACGAAAAACAGGGAGGAGGGGGGGGGGGGGGGGGCAGCCTCCTAGCCTAGGCAGTTTCTAATTCATGTGCTACAGTTTATGCACAGTTGGGTCACCGCGTACATGTATACATTGGTATGCTGTGCTTGGTGAAATTCTAGCCCGTTCTTCCAGTTCGGGGCTCCGTTCTGCGGCACTCGACAGTATTGTAGCAATATTCAAGACTTTCCGGACCAAGCTAGCAGTTCATGTTGTGTGTGATTAGCAATCTTCACAAATTTCCAGGCCAAGCTAAGGCGCGCATGAGCAGTGCTGAAACCTAGACCCTTGGTCGGTTGAGCTGCTCTTGCCCCGCCTCCACTGCTTCGGCGGCCATCGCTATGTGTATCTCTGTGCGTTTTTGCCGGCGTTTGCACCATGATGGTTTGTGGCTATTTTGTAAAAAAAAAGAAAAGAAAAAAAGAGTTCCTGTCAGCAGCCAAGTTCATACTTACTTTGGCAGACAGCAGCCGATTCTCTTGCCATTGTAAGTGCAGCACTTCGTGAGTTTGGGATCACCACCTGGTGGCGGACACTGCGCACAGGCACCATCTAGAAATGGGAAAGAGAACACGCATCTTACGGGTGGAAAGCAAAAAAATTCAAGACTGCACATTGTGTATGGGGTAAGCATCAGCATTCGGCCCTGTGTAGATTTTTCGTCGGTCGACACACCACAACTGCGCTCTCCAGCCGACCTCAACACGTTACCATAGCGCACCACCAGCAAGCTGCACATCCGTTGGTAACCAGCGGCAACGTGTCGAGGTCCGCTGGAGAGTGTAGTCGTGGTTGACGAAAAACTGCCTATTGTGATAAATCAAAAAACCGGCTCATCTGCTTGAAAAAGTCGTGTAGCTTGGATGAAGCTCTTTGGTAATGTATAGGCAGAAATATTCGTCTGGATTTTAATTTCGTCCAAGGAGTTTTTGGACTAAATTAAATGCCGGATGAATGTCGATTTGTTCAGCTTTTCACTACACTCTTACGATCCATGGACGAAATTTTCAACCGGACGAACTCCCTTTCTTTGGAGTTGGACGAAATTATTGACCGACGAAATTTTCTGCCTGTACAGACCATATTGCACAGGTCTGAAATAATTATGTGTTCATCCTACTATTACTAGACACTTTACCGAAGAAGGGAGAAGGAGAAAAGTTATTTACCTTCTTGGCGAGCGGTAGCTTGCAGGCCATCTGCACACGTGCACAACAAGGCAAAACAACAAGCACATTTCCCTTAGCACGACAGGTAGTACCAAGGGTAGTAGTGCCTAGCCACCAAGAGTATGCAACTACAGCCAGCACTACCTCAGTCCAGTGGGGATTTCCCTTAGCACGACAGGTAGTATCAAGGGTAGTAGTGCCTAGCCACCAAGAGTATGCAACTACAGCCTGCACTACCTCAGTCCAGTGGGGATTTCCCTTAGCACGACAGGTAGTATCAAGGGTAGTAGTGCCTAGCCACCAAGAGTATGCAACTACAGCCTGCACTACCTCAGTCCAGTGGGGATTTCCCTTAGCACAATAGGTAGTACCAAGGGTAGTAGTGCCTAGCCACCAAGAGTATGTAACTACAGCCTGCACTACCTCAGTCCAGTGGGGATTTCCCTTAGCACGATAGGTAGTATCAAGGGTAGTAGTGCCTAGCCACCAAGAGTATGTAACTACAGCCTGCACTACCTCAGTCCAGGGGGGATTTCCCTTAGCACGACAGGTAGTATCAAGGGTAGTAGTGCCTAGCCACCAAGAGTATGCAACTACAGCCTGTACCACCTCAGTCCAGTGGGGATTTCCCTTAGCACCACAGGTAGTATCGAGGGTGGTAGTGCCTAGCCACCAAGAGTATGCAACTACAGCCTGCACTACCTCAGTTCAGTGAGGCGACGGATGATTTTCTCATCACGTGACATGGTTGATATACGCTATGCTGGCAAAAAGAGCAAAGTGAGACCACCAGAGAGTTGAACCCAAAGCAGAGTTGCCTAAGTACGAACCTGTAGATATCATGCATAGGGTGCAAATAATGTCCATGGGAGTGTCTCACGTGATGGGAAGTTCTCCGACCGCAGACCCCTTGGACTCAGTGGAGTTAAACACCTTTGGGATTTGTGTACTCTTCTAGGCAGTAGTGATAGACACTCTTTGCATCTCTCTTCTTACCAAATGCAAACAGTGAAAATCACTCACACCTATATCACACAACCAGGGTACGAGCCCATGCTTGCCAATACAATGCCTCGCATACTACGATACTAGCCACAGCCTTACTGGAGCAGTTCACCTATCATACTAGCCACAGCCTTACTGGAGCAGTTCACCTATCATACTAGCCACAGCCTTACTCGAGCAGTTCAGCGTCACGCTGTAGATGGTGCAGTAGTAGGAGGTTCTCTTCTGGACGTGGCACCGCAGCTTCAGCGTGGACTCGGCCAGTGCACGCAGGTCGGCGGCAGGGTCACTGGCACAGGTGCGTGGCAAGCACGTACGGGCACGGAGTGCTACTGCATTCACAGTGTACGAGTCGTATGTAGTCTAAGTGCGGAGTACAGAATAAAATATCAAACAATACATCAATAGAACACCATGCCTGTCTTGCATTGGTGGCTACTGCATTCATCGTGTACGAGTCGTATGTGGTCTAGGTGCGGAGTACAGAATAATACAGTGCATGATCGAAATTCCGAAATCAAATTAACTCAGCTGGAAACCAGTTTAGTAAATTATTATTGCACCTACACGTACTTGTAACATGGCGAACATAGAACCGGTTTGAACCCAACCCAAGCCCCTGGTCCACCAATTCACCATTACAGCAGTTTTCGACACTGTAAGTATTATTCTAGTGACCTTTCCATTTTATGATGTGCATGAAAGCATCACTTCCAACAGTCCCCAAGGACCCCCTTTTCCATTGTTATAAGTCGTTGTGCCGAAATAGCAGCTTACAATACATGAACAGCACGAGTTTTTAGGCTGAAAGGGCAGGTAGCAATGCATGAGCCGCATGGATCGGTGTGCTTGAAAGGCCAGGTAAGAATGCATGAGCTCAGCGAGCGGCATGAATCGGTGTATTGTCTCGTCACAGCCATTCATCCTTTAAACGCAAAGCTGTGGACTGAGAAATTGCCCGATATGATACACTTCAACGTGAACGGTTCGTGTGAACATTATGGCTAAAGATAATAAAAAATAAAATAAAATACTTTGAAGTACATTATATCAAGAGTACATGTACATAACCCCAGGAGTGTGCACTGAAAGGGCAGGCAATCGACTGCATGTACCGCACACCGGGGACCAGACTAACCTGCAGCTCAGTGCAGGCTACCGTTCGTTGATCACGTTTGCAGAACTCCACCAGGTCCTGATCAGAAGTGCTGCTGCCCCGGTACTGCGGCACCTTGTCTCCAAGGTTGGAACTGCAGCCGTACAGGTAGTCGGGCAGCACCCACTCGGTCAGGCACCTATCCTGGTCGTCATCGTCGTCGATGCACTTGATGATCTGCGTCATGCATGGAAAATAGTCGTCCTCCAGGTCTTTGAAACACGGCCTTGACAGGTTGGAGAAGCGCTCGCCAATGAACAACTTTGTTCTGGTGGACATCATTAGCAGAAAGGAGACATGGATAAAACAAGAAGGTTAAATCATCCCTTCCCCAGCACATATAAGAATCATTCACATGCTATCACATCACAATGCCATCACAATGACATCACAATGATATCAAAGTGACATCACAATGACACGATGAGAGATCACCGTGGTAATGTACAGCACATTTAATTAACACAGGTACCCCGTGCCCGGTCAAGGTAATCATTGGTAGACAAAACATTGTAACATGGAAATTGTTGGCACAAGTTTTGCGATCGAGTCCACCAACTAAACCAGATTTTGAACAGTCAGACGTGCACAATCTAGCACAAAACTGACAAGGAGTACTGAGACATTCCATAACATGAAAGTCTTAGCTCACCATCTGAGTTCTCAAGACAAAACAGCTATAGCACTAAGAAAGAGGATATACTTCATGTTCTTCCCCCCAAAAAAAAATTTTTTTAAACATTTTCACCAGTATTCTTTCAAACCTTCTCTTCAGGTGATGTATAAGCAAGAACAGAGGAACAAGACCAATGAGTTAAAGTAAAGCAGAAAGGTCATAGAACAGTGCAAAAAGAAGAATAGCTAAAAACAACAACGACAACATGTGTGACCCATACACAAAGAAAGGATCACAAAAGGTGGAAGTGTTCTGTAACACGTGCCTAACAAACGTGAAATGTAGCGCGACAACAATCGACATCCAACGAACATAAATAATGAGTTGTTGACAACCTACCCGTAACAGCCTCAGTGTGAATTTAATTTGTTCTCTGTTTGCATGGGTTAGTAGCAGGTCTCTTTGTGTGACCTCTCTGCTTCTCTTAACTCATTCTTCCTCTTCCTCTGCTCTTGTAAATCATCTGAAGAGAAGGCTTGAAAGAATATCCAGGGAATTTTATTACTGGAAGACCAGTAATGTTAACGACAATTTAATTCTAATGACTTGACGGATTTCGAAAGAATCGTTAACTTTTGAAGTCGTGATGTGCAAAACGAGATGTACATGACACAGTCATTTGCTGGTTTTGACACAGAATTCGTTAGAATTTCACCTCGCTAACCCACAAAATTCGGAGATCGTTAACTTTAATGGACGTTAAAATATCTTGTCTTACAGTACTCGGTTTATTTATTTATTTATTGCGATGAATTTCATGATGCTAGGTCAGAAGTTGGCTACTTACGTTGGTTTGCAGCAGTTGAGCCCCACGGCGCCTATACCGCCCCACTCGCAACAGACCTTGCCGTCAGCACATTTCGTGTTGGCGTAGCACTGATGATCCTGCACTGTAAATTGGAGAAGCATTCAGAAACCGGAATCAAGAATTCAAGATACATTCACACAGAGTTTTTTTCCCTGGTGCAAAATGACAACTTGAAAGAGACTTTGCAAGCATACTTGCTAAGACAATTGTCACCAAAAAATGGCAAAAATTCAACAAGGTTCAAAACCCTAAGGAAACTAATAGCGCAGCGCAATGGCGATTTACTAAACTGAATGCACAATTACACAGATCAACTCGGCACATCCACAGAACATCCCAGGGATTAAAAAGAAAGACTCGAGGGTGTTAGCTTTGTCCAATGCTATTTCAAGATACGGTTTCTATGCTTTACCCTACCTGTCTACAGGCAGATGGAACTCTCATCCACCTGAATGTCGACAGGCAGCTTCTTTTGCAACATTTAATAGCATCTTCCACGTGATCATAAGACGATAAAAGCCTGTGGGGACTGCCCTAGGAAAACAGTAAACACTACTACCACTACTAAGACCCAGACACTTGACCACTTTAGAAGGCCTAAGGGCGGATTTTAATGGCATGGCTGTGTAAGACACACACACACTCACTCACATACCAAAGCAAAACGGTCGGTTGCCACTCCACATGCCAGTGGCGTTGCAGGTCCTAACGGCCGTGCCAAGGAGCTTGGTGCCCGCGTCGCACGAATATCGGAACTGCGCTTGGTATTGTTGAACACGCCAGCTCAGGTCCGGGCTGAGTGGATCGTATTGGCCAAGGTTTGTGACTTTCAGCCTGCCGTACGGAACGGTGCTAGAGTTTTGGCCAAACGTCAGATCTAAGCATGTCTCCACTGCAGTGCGAGCAACCCAGAGAAAAGGACAGCAGTGTTCGAATCTCAAATAACCATAAAAGAACAAAAGGGAGTTTGTCAACTGACACTGAGGCGCTCTATTCAGTTGCTACTTACTCCAATCATCATGTACTCGTAACATTTAAAGAAATGACTTATCAAGCATTGAGCTCAGAGTAAAATCTCAGAAAATTCAATCCATTCTCGTCTCTAGTTAGTTGTATGTTCACTGCTACTGCAAGTCTACTGTCTAGTCAGCGCAAGTCAAGTTACTGCATAAGCAGAAATATTCGTATGGAATTTAATTTCGTCTTTTTCGTCCAAGGAGTTTTGGACTAAATTAAATGCCAGACTAATATCGCCTTTTCCAGCTTTTCAATACACTCTTATGATCCACGGACGAAATTTACAACGGGACGAATTTCTTTGGAGTTGGACAAAATTATTGACCGGCGAAAATGTCTGCCTGTACAGTAGTTGATGCGTAAATCATGTTAGTAGGAAAGGGATCCCGTATGCAATCCTTGCTGATGGGCATTTCCGGCATCCATGCACAAGTCTGCGTGGCTGGCACTTCCCCAAGAAGCTAAGGACCTTTCTTCCCTCCGCCTTTTTAAGAGCCTTGTCGCGCCTTGACTTTGATTTTGTGTTTCTCATTTCGTTGCAATCACTGCTTATCCATGCCGGTTCCTTTTTCTTCTCCTCCCCTTCTCCCTGCCTTGCCGTGGTTGGCTAACACCCTCTCTCTTTGTATTGGCCGGTGTTCTCACTGTGCTATGAGATGCTGTAATAAATAAATAAATAAATAATAAATAAGTAGATATGTCATTTTGCCACGTGATTGTTTTTACCAACTGCCATGGCTGGGTATTGCCCCTCCCTCCACATTGGCCTTTAATCCCTGGCCACGCCGGGGAGGCGAACTATTTACTGACGATAAGAACATGTCCTTCCTTGCCGTGAACAGCACAAAAACCCGGACACACTGCGGCATGATAAAGCGAACTTTGAATAGAAGAACTAGCTCATGCACAAAGCTTTAGACCCTGTCTGGTAGGTGCAGCCATGGCCGGACCAAATTTCTCAAAAAGTTGACCCACCCAATTCGTGCAAAACGGTGTTTTTTTCAATAAGCTTCATTTCCGGTCAAGTATGTCATTTGGGCGGACCACCTGAAACACCAGGGCTACAGCCCTGACGTATTCGTGAGTACTTTGGCCCATCATTCACAGCAAATACACACAGTACAGAGCCTCTCTCTCTCTCTCTCTCTCTCTCTCTCTCTCTCTCTCTCTCTCTCTCTCTCTCTCTCTCTCTCTCTCAGCCTTACCTCTACACCAGGGGTTGTACTTGTTCGACCAGTCCGGTCCAAGGCAGATGGCAGTTGGCTCAAGAGTACTCCAGCCAGTCTTGCATTCATACCGGATCATGGCACCCTGGGAATAGTTCGTTCCGACCACTGTTACTCCTGAGCCCTTACTGATTATAGGTTTTCTGCAGTTTTCGGCTGTGAGAAAAGAAGTAACAAACCTGGCTATCATATCGACCAATAAGCCACCCCTCCCCCCCCCCTTCCACGCAAAACTGGCGCTTTCCAGTTCGACGGTGCTCACTCATCTATGTATGTAGGAGTTGCGTTATAGTTCCATGATATACAGTGCTTCTAGGTTTACTTTTTTATTTACATTGAAACTCTAGTTTGTTACCTCAACAGTGCAATAAACAACTACTGTTCAAGGAGAGTCGAATAGAAAACAAAGCCACCGATGTGTAGGCCACGGTGGCGTTTCGTCCCGACTTGTTTGCACGTCACGATGGCGTTGATCCTAGACTGAGACCCGGTACCCGTGTGCTCATTATGCGTAGCTTGTATATGAATTGATTGTCACCGGGAGTTTTCTGAGGGTTGCATGAAGACTTCAATGGCGGAGGCCGAGTATACTCAACAGGATTCTAGCCAAAGGAGGGTAGGGGGTCGCAGCGCCCTCATACTCTGATTGAGCCCCCCCCCCCCCTCTCATCCACGCGACAAAATCCCTTACTCGTTTGTCGATTTTTAAGCCATTCAACGGCAATGCTGTCGACAGAGGATTCAAAAGGCACATTTTTCTGGGGTGAAGTCGGGGGTTCGCCGCCGTACATTTTGGAAAATGGAAAATGGATTACAGGGCAACCTCCACCGCATACTGGCACTTACCAATGCAGTTCGTATTCATTCCGTACAGCTTCCACACGCCCGTGTCACTACAAGTGACAGGCGACACAGTAAACCCGCCGGCAAATTCATAGTGAGCGTCGCAGAAATAGTACAGGTTAGTGCCGTTGGAGAAGATGGGCTGGTTTGGCGGAACAGTGACATTGTAGCCGCCGTGTGCTGATTTGACTGGTGTCGGGCACAATACGTAACCTACAAAGGAGGAAAACCAGTCATGAACAATTCTAGGCTTTAGCCGGTGAATACTTTAAACTACCTATGCAGAATCTCGGGGCCATAACTTTGTGAAAGGGTTAGTCCACTCCGGACGGTTTGCGGACTGATACCGCCCATATGCGTAAAAACATCCCCCCGGGCCCGCTGGCTGTACCTGCCAAATGCTGTAAAACCAGAAAGTCCAACGAGTCACAAAGTCTAACGTTTTAACAACCAATTTTTATTCGTTATTTGAAGAAATGTTATCGCAAACCCGGCTTGAGATGTCTGTGTAAAGATGCGCATACAGATGGGTGGCCAGGTGGCCATCGTTAAACTTTCTGCACGTTATCAAACTTATCATGCCAAAATTACAAAAATGTTAAACTTTCCGGTTTTACAGTCTTGAACAAATTGTTTGCCAATCCAAGGACCTAGTTGGTGACCATGTTTCTTGCACATGTACTGGGAGCCTTAACACTAACGGCAGGTGGTATTGAACTCCCCGTGCGTGGCCAATCCTCCGTTATCTTTCGATGTTGCCCCTGCTTTGCCATCTACACAATAATCCACCTGTACGTGTAGTGGTCATAACAAATTGGCGATGTTTACGACACTCCGACTCGACTGTTGTAAGTGTCTTTAGTTTTAAAGCTTGCCCCAAGCCTGTTGGACTTAAACGCATGATAGCGCAGAGAACAGATCAGTTATTATTCCAGGGCTGCCACTTGATCCGATTTTTCGGAAATCGTCCGATTTTTGATCGCCTGTCGGACAAACCAACCGATTATGTTCCCAAAAAGGGACAACCGATTATTTTATTTTGAGCGCTTTTTAGTCCAGTTGGCCATTCGGCGCTTCCAGGTCGCGTTTGGCCGGTCATTGTACATGTACATGTAGCTGTAAAATGCACGCGTGCTTGCATGTGTGTGGACAGTTAAAAATGTGTTCTGGGGCCCCAACAGCAAGCCATTTTCCTAAATATTTTCACCGGGGGACACCCCCGCACCCCATCACATTTTTCTCAATCCAAGTGTGGCAGCCCTGTTATTCTGAGTTCAAACGGTTTAAAAGGTTAGTCGTCGCCCTGCACACATACTATATCTTCCGGAGTGCAAACCGCACTTTGAACACTCACCATTCAACCAAAAAGGGGGGGGGGGGGGTGCGGCTTATACTCCGATGATCAAATCAACGGTGATGAACACGGTAGATGTCTGTATTTTGTGGCAAAAAAATGGGGGTGTAGCTTATACTCCAGTGCGGCTTATACTCCAGTGCGGCTTATACTCCAGTGCGGCTTATACTCCAGTGCGGCTTATACTCCAGTGCGGCTTGTACTCCAGTGCGGCTTAAACTCCAGTGCGGCTTATACTCCAGTGCGGCTTATACTCCAGTGCGGCTTATACTCCAGTGCGGCTTATACTCCAGTGTGGCTTATACTCCAGTATGGCTTATACTCCAGTGTGGCTTATACTCCAGTGCGGCTTATACTCCAGTGCGGCTTATACTCCAGTGTAGCTTATACTCCAGTGCGGCTTATACTCCAGTGCGGCTTATACTCCAGTGTGGCTTATACTCCAGTGCGGCTTATACTCCAGTGCGGCTTATACTCCAGTGTGGCTTATACACCAGTGCGGCTTATACTCCAGTGCGGCTTATACTCCAGTGCGGCTTATACTCCAGTGTGGCTTATACTCCAGTGCGGCTTATACTCCAGTGCGGCTTATACTCCAGTGCGGCATATACTCCAGTGCGGCTTCTACTCCAGTGCGGCTTCTACTCCAGTGTGGCTTCTACTCCAGCGCGGCTTATACTCCAGTGCGGCTTATACTCCAGTGCGGCTTATACTCCAGTGCGGCTTATACTCCAGTGCGGCTTATACTCCAGTGCGGCTTATACTCCAGTGCGGCTTCTACTCCAGTGTGGCTTATACTCCAGTGCGGCTTCTACTCCAGTGTGGCTTATACTCCAGTGCGGCTTATACTCCAGTGCGGCTTATACTCCAGTGCGGCATATACTCCAGTGTGGCTTATACTCCAGTGCGGCTTATACTCCAGTGCGGCTTATACTCCAGTGCGGCTTATACTCCAGTGTGGCTTATACTCCAGTGCGGCATATACTCCAGTGTGGCTTATACTCCAGTGCGGCTTATACTCCGAAAAATACGGTATGTGCTACACATGGCACAGAGCACAACTATTTTGTACGTACTAAATTATTTTAAATAAGACCCGAAGCTATCACCCAGCACGTGCGTAAAATATTTTCGAATAAACCCAACAATACTACATGTAGTTACATCACTCCGACTCGATCGAACTCACCATGCGCGCGGCTGAGCAGTGTGAACGCCGTCATTGAAACTAGTAGTAGTAGATCTACATGGCGTACATGATGTAGCTTCACATTCATGGTCAAGGCCATCCCCGGCCTCTCAGTATGCCGGGCTCTTTATCCAGTCTGTCTCCTTTTCTGGCTTTTGCCCTCAGCTCTCCTCGAGGGCCTCACTCCGGCAAGCCTCAAATTACTTAGGTAATAGTACTTCAAAACGTAATATTTCAACTCTACAGCTAGTACAGGCAACAGGCAACAGGCGCTAACGGCTAGGCCTTTGAAATGAAATTTGATTCGAGGCAGATGACGATATTAATTTTATAGGCAGCAAAACTGGGAGTCGTGAGACTCCCTGTTCTCGGCCAGGGCTGGATACGACTCGTCATTGAGCGCGGAGAACGTCGGGATCGGGAGGTAAATGGTAAGCTTACTCTGAATTATCACACAGCCACACGTGCCCCGTCCGGAAATAGTTGAATTCATAGCAATACTCCATAGCCTAGGTTTTGGACGTCAATGAGTGGTGTGATGACGCGGGAGTTCTGACAGACTGCCAGACTGCCAAGTGCCAGTACTGTCTACTGACGGCCGAAGGTCTGTAGCCTGTATACTGTAGCCACTTACCAAACTAGTACATGTACTGTAAAAAATTAAGACATCTGTCATTATCACTCCCTTAGTATTGACTCCCATAGATTTTTGCCATACCTAAGCAGTCAAATATTCCTGCATATTTCACTCCTTACGGCTATATTGACCGCTTATATTTGACTCCTTGTTAGCGATTGAACACATGCTTTGGTTAGTCGTGATAAATCTAATATTGACTTCGTACTTAGTCAGTATAGGAAATAAAAGACCTCGTAAAAGACCACGGCTTCGCCTCGGTCTTTTACTCGGCTTTTATTTCCTATATTGACCTCGTACTCAATCAATATTAGATACTTAATTAAAATAGAAATCGTTATACAGAAATTGACACATATACTGTCCTATTGAGCGTTGAGAATGAGTGAGAATCGTTACCTTTGGTACACGTAAACTAGTCAATTTTGGGAAATCGTTATAATTATATGCGCCTCGTTAGAATAAGGGCTTTTACAGTAAGTAGTAATAGTAGTTACATAATAATATTGCTACTCGATGGACACACGACTTTGGTGATGCCCATGCCATGGTGGCGCGGCATGGCTCTCTTGTCTTGAGAGTTTCCCCATGTGGACGAATGAAACAAGAGCAGGACTACATGTAGCAGAAGGTCCAGCCACAAAGCATCATGACTGAAGGAGATCGGCCCAGTGCAGTGGTCACACTGTGACAGCCCTCACGCCTGAGCCGATGAATGCCACTACATGTACATGTATACACTGTACAGTCGTCTACTCCAGGATTCCTGGAACCCGTGACCGCACAAGGCTGTGATCACATGTACAGTAGCTTGAGTAGGTGCTGACGGTAGATCTACTACAGTACCGTAAAAGTCCGTAAATAAGTACCTGCCCGAAAGAAATACCCCCTTCATTCTTTAGGCTCTGTCTGTTGAAGTCAAGTCAAGCCCGATAAACATACTGCCCGAAATAAGTACCGGTACGGTGCGCACATGCAGCACGTAGCATGTACATCGACATGAAAATGACTTTCTCCACTACATACAAGTCAGGTCCGAAAGTTAGTTCGTGCCCGAAAGTCAGTACCCGCCCGAAAGTTAGTATGGGTGTGGTCACTAAATTCGAAAGTAAATACGTACTTATTTACGGACTTTTACGTACTCGTTATCAGTTACCAGTTATGAGTTAGGCTACCAGTTTTCTAATTACCAAATGCTGTTTTTCATCATCAAAGACATCATTCTGCCAAGTGACATGACATATGCACTCACACGTATACCCCTCAGGCCCTGTGTATCATGAACCTGATGATCACATTTCACCAGCCATATCATGAATTAAAAAAATTAATAATTATAATTGGCTGAGTACAGAAAACTTTCATGTACAAGTCCAGCGCTGCGCAATGAAATCCAGTCGCGTCACTCAAGTCTGCGCCTTGCACCATTTCGCAGCCCAGTGTTCGCAGGTCTAGGGATGCGCAACGCCCAGTGCGTACTTGAGGGATGCGACTGGATTTCATTGAGCAGGACTTAACATGTACATGGACGTGTACATCACCACGATTCACCAGTGATCACCACAGCAAGTGGTCTCTTTGCTGCAAATAATAATCGAATCTGCAGGAAAGAGACCACTAGCCTCGGTGGTGATAACTCGACATTGTTGAGTTTAAATGACAGAACTGAGATTGGCTGATGAAATGTGATCATAGTCGTCAGAGCCGCATAGCATTTTCGCTTGGTATGGGTCTTGCCCAAATGGCATTGTAGAGGCGAGGGGACCTTTTCCTGGGATGTTTTTGAAACATTAAGGCAAATTGTGCGTTTTTTTAAAGCTTTTCGAGAGGTTCTTATTTTGTGTCACCAAGGACTTGGTGCGGCTGTGTGCGGTGGAAGTTCAAATCCTGAGGAGGCTACAGAGGAGTTGCGCCGTTCTCGTTGTGCTATAAATCAGCCGGAATATTGATCCTTCTCCAACCGGGCCGGACGGGCTCCGGCGCACCAAAATCCATCCTATGTACATGTATGTATGTAGCCGCAAGGGTCCATTCGACGCTGTCCCTGGCAAGCCACATAAACACACCCTGCTTCACCCACGGTAGCAACACACACTGCATACAGTGGAGTCTGTAACCAATGCACACTGCCATGTTAGCCATGTTAGCCCCGACTATGCACTACCGTGAAGCGGCAAACTTTCGCGTTTTCATAAATTGGGCTGGTTCACGATGAGAAACGTTTGCGATTCTATCTCTTCAGTCGGATCTTGTAGTGATTGTAGACAATCAATGTACGGAGAGGTTTGCGGCGATTTATATTCGCGAATGTGTGATGGTCGCGAAAATAGCGAAATTTAATCTCCGGCGAAAGTTTCTCACTTTACAGTACATAGTCACCAGCGACTGTCACTCAGGCCCTGCACCATACATCTCATGCATTGAAACCAGCCCACAAGCATCATGGTTCTCTTCAACACCGAGGGTACGCACATGTGACGACATCATCCGCGGCAATGCGTATTCACTTTGCAATGAGTGCTGTGAGACCCAGTGGTAGTAGTGGTGCCGCGTCATACGCAGCATTGTGAATCCAGCAACGGATGTGATCCTTTGCTAGGCACGTTGGGTGAGTAAACACTGTCCAGCATGCGCACACGTGAGACCCAGAATGACGCAAATAACACCGGCGAGAATTTACAAACTAGCGAGAGTAGGCAACACATCCCGCGAGAGCCGAAACAGTGGAATCTTGTTGCGTCATGCGGGCGAGCACACAGAAACCACAATCTATGAATAAGCGGGCCCCGTGTTGGGACCTGGACTTGCAGTCACGCATTGACGTAAGCAACGGGTAACACACGTAGGCGGCACATCACACGTGGACTGCCATGTGCTTGAGTTGCTGACTCTGGCTTCGTTTCAGCATCCTAGGCGTTGCTGCCGCTGCACGATTCAACAGCCTGCACGCTGAGGATCTGACTCATGGCTGCCCAACCTACGCATGCACACACACACACACACCGAGGAATGTCCACCCATCTGCACTTGCATTCCTATCCTATGAGCGAGTTATCCTCCACCCAGCACCTGCACTACCCGCAGCACCTGCACCCACTGCTCACCCTGACATCTAATTTTCGGAACTTGTGCTTTCACTGCACAATTCAATGGCGGTGGGGTACCAAGGGTCAGCAATGCAATGGCTGGCAGTGCCCAAGGGTCAGCAATTCAACGGCTGGTGGCGCCAAGGACCTACAATGCAATGGCAGGCAGGGCAAAGGATCTGACTCATGCGTGCACAAACGATACGCACACCACTGCAGGGGCGCCGGGCCAGGCACGCACCTGCTTACAAACATTCCAATCCTCCCACGGCATGGACGAGCGATCAAAACACTCGTGCTTCTCGCGCCCCGCCGCACAATGGGAAATCGTGCGCTCGAACTTCTCAAAGGATAATGGTATGTGCAGCATAGCCTGATGAGATCATGATACATGCTCACAGAACTGAGGCAAAGATGAACCCTAGTTTCCATGATATAGCCTCTTTTCCGGGCAAACTAAATACAATTCAATGTGCGATCATAAAGGATTAGAACACAACACAGAAAGAAAGAACACATTTTACGCAAGAAAGTAATCGTGTAGAAACGACCCTGCTTATGTCTAGTCTTCGGACACCGAAAGATATGGTGGTGGAAACAAAGACGAGGTAATCCAAGAGCACTCGTAAAACTGACTGCAGCCAGCATAAAGAACTTCTCGTGAGACTGGTTGCTTACTGAGAACCGTTGCACTGATAGAGCACATAGACCTGTGGGCGTACGCCTTTGGAAACCTGTGCAACGTCTTCTAGCCTTCTAAAATGAGGCAGTAGCTTACGATGGGTTCATTGAGGGCTTGTCTTGCACAAAGCGAGAGCATTCTGGTCTTTTCATCAGCACTTTCATGTGTATGTGCTTCTCAACAACCAGGTTGCAGTCTTGGCCATGATAGCTCAGTTCAGATCAAGTTTTATGGATCTCGACACATTAACCCTCCCCGCGCTGCATACGGTAACGTGAGTGAATGCTTCATTCCTCATGCGATAGGTGGTGTGTGATAGTCAAGTACAAGCAATACATTTATGTGACGACGAAGAGTGACACTTTATAAATGGTTTTCACTTTCTAAAATCCGTAAATATTTTTCCTGTGGTGCCATGGTATGAATGCACTCACTATATTTCTATCGATAGAGGCTTTCTAGTATTAAAAATTGTAAACTTCTCAAGAAGCTGTATGAGTAGATATAATATTACCAATTCTGCAATACACAAGCGGCTGTCGAAAAGTACTGACAGAAGACTGTTTACTTCAACTGCTTGACTAAATGTGATGTTACTTTGAGGCACTACCAGGGCAGATAGGAAGCTACCAAACCTCTCAAGATTAGAGATCGTCGTCTTGCGTCTTCGTGTAGGCGAAATAATCTACCGAGTTGACGAGCGTCTGCTTATCCTTTCCGTGGCGGAGGGCATGCCGACTTCTCTTCCTCAGCCTTGGAAGGATGATGTAGTGGATGGCAGCACCGACGCCAAGGAAGAGGACGGTCAGTCCAATCGTGAGGCCCACCACCAGTCCGACATTCAGGGGCCGTACTGGATCTGTACGCAAGAGAGAAAGTAGCAGTAGTGTTGGTTAGAATAATTAAAAAAATCACGGTTGGTGAAAATACGTAGTATCAAGTTCTTTTAATGTACGGATATAGGTTAATATGGATCACATAATCATAGCAGAGCAGCGGTCACCTGTCTTAAAGTACAGCTCAGACTGATCGCGAGAGATCTGTACGTACCTGTATACTCTGCTGTGACAGATCTTGCCTTCGAACCACTTTGATCTGGGTCAGAGCATCGCAAGCAAATGGAAACAAATGGAAGACGAATTTCAAGGTTAAGCAGCAGCAATCGGAACACTTTTCTAGAGCATTGTATCATGCGCGGTCACCCGTGAAGCTTGTTCAGTGAGATTGATAGATGTGTAGCTAGATGATTGGCTACATTACTTACTCATCATTTTATCCTTAGCGGATACATTATACTATGCCAGTGTGTTGTGTCTAGCTCAAGACGGAAAAGCACCCTCAACAGACATGCACACACACACACACACACACACACACACACACACACACACACATACACACACACACACCCACACATACAGACACACACACACACACACACACACACACACATGCACACACAAAATATCCCTCGTCTCACACACACACACATTGCTCAAGCACGCCGACACCGCCACACACACACACACACACACACACACGCACACACACACACGCACACACACACACACGCACACACACTCACACACGTGCACACGCATGTACACACACACCTCAGACCTCAGACCTGCCCATCGCGGAAGCGATGATAGCGAACAGCTATGTTCGACATAGCAACTTGTGCTGGGATTACACCATCCAACAGCTTGCAAGGCTGATGAATTGACCACCACTATTTCTTTAGCGTGGTATCCACCACACAGCTGATTGAAGTGGCTTTTTTCTGGCCAGTGAGTCTCTATTTTTCATTAGCCCCATCCCTCACACAAACAAGTCAACAAAGAGGCATCTTTGGATTGAGGAGTGCTGGTTTCGAAACAACTGGTTTGAAGCTCAAAGTAGAGCTGGTGTTAGCTCAGAGCAGAGCTGGTGTTAGCTCAAAGTAGAGCTGCTGTTAGCTCAAAGTAGAGCTGCGGTTAGCTCAAAGTAGAGCTGCGGTTAGCTCAAAGTGGAGCTGCTGTTAGCTCAAAGTAGAGCTGCGATTAGCTCAAAGTAGAGCTGCTGTTAGCTCAAAGTAGAGCTGCTGTTAGCTCAAAGTAGAGCTGCTGTTAGCTCAAGGTAGAGCTGCTGTTAGCTCAAAGTAGAGCTGCTGTTAGCTCAAAGTAGAGCTGCGGTTAGCTCAAAGTAGAGCTGCTGTTAGCTCAAAGTAGAGCTGCTGTTAGCTCAAAGTAGAGCTGCTGTTAGCTCAAAGTAGAGCTGCGGTTAGCTCAAAGTAGAGCTGCTGTTTAGTTAGCTCAAAGTAGAGCTGCTGTTAGCTCAAAGTAGAGCTGCTGTTAGCTCAACGTAGAGCTGCAATGCTAAATGGATGTAATATAGCGCAAGGCAGAGCCGCAGCAAATAGCTAGATAACACCAGTTGTGAGAGTGGACCCGGTTAGTGGGTACGATAATATTATGATGGTGTGAATAAGTTGGATAGGGAGGGATGGTGGGAAAAGAAACACTGCTGAAGCACGATCCGTTGTCTGGAAGAGCACAACAGGGCAAGCAAGATTTGTTTTTCTTTTCCGCAAAAATGGGCTGGTGCCATTTGTGATTACGCAGCAAAACAAAGCGCATGACGTCAGTCTTGAATGCAGTACAAAGCAATGCAGTGCAGTGTGTGCGCTAGTTCGGATTGTTGCTAACAAGTACTAGCACAGCTAGTACACCATATTTTTCATGTTTTTATTCTTTTTTTAAACACACACACACACGCCACACCACATACTCCGGCATACACTGGCTGTTGGTAACCACCCAGGAGAATGAAAGAAGAGCTAGGAGTATGAGAAAGAGAAGAAAGACGTGTGCGACCATAATCGTCGGGAATTGAACCCACAACCTCTCGATTGGAAATCGACTGCACATACCACTGCACCATATGGGACACACACACACACACACACACACACACACACACACACACACACACACACACACACACACACACACACACACACACACGACAACTGTACACACTTGGTAGATCAATGGTTGTCAGCTCTTTTAATGGTTAACTCACCCGAACAGTACCACGTCGTTTTCACTCGATCACATGACTTCACCTTGTAAGTCAGTTTAGTGTATTCACAGATCATCCTGGCATCAGAATAGGCAAGCTGCTCGAGATCAGTGGTTGTGTTGCACGTCTGCTCCAGACAGAAACGATCCATCTGGCAGTAGCGCTCACGATCGCCGGGAAACTCGCACGACGTCTGGCACCACAGTGAGTGATTGGATCCGGCGTAGTACGTGGGGCACTGTTCAGAGCGCTGTTCGTTTGCCTGCAAGTACACACGCGCACATGCACACACACGCACATGCACACACACACACACACACACACACACACACACACACACACACACACACACACACACACAGTGCACCGAGTTACTGCCAGTATGAGCCACACTGTAGAATATTCATTAGTTTGAGGAAATTGAAAACGGATAAATATGAAGACTAGGGTTTGAACCAGGTGTTTAAGGCCAGTGATGCTCTATTACTGGCCTATGGTGTTGCCTGATGATGGCTCGAAAATTTGAATTGAGATACAGAAATTCACATCAAAGAGATCACTTGCATTGATGATGATTGAAGGTAGGGTTTTCTGAATGTTGTTGCCGTACAAGCAGAGGCTGTTCAAACATCTTCCTCTGACTCCAAATACTATAAAAATGAGTACTGGTACATTTAGTGGATGGTTCACTTTCAGCAATTTCAGCCAGAGGAGTGTTTACTTAACTTCAGCCTTGCCAGATGAGAGTTTGTGTTCCCCGGATCAGTGTCCACTGTGCTGTTCTGTTGAGTTGAGACTCTTCTCACTACAATTTATCATTGTAAGATCAAGCCAGTTCGGGAATAGCTGTTACTTTGTGTGTGTGTGGGGGGGGGGGGGGGGGGAGCAGTGCATATCACTCACATTGCAGTTATGGTAGCTTGGGCACACATAATCACTCTTGGTGCCGACGAGATTGTTGAGGCAGTCGGCTATCATGGGAACGCAGGGCGCCAGCGAAGCCATCACGCTATTGCGACATACCGGAGACTGGACGGGCTCCAGCTGCTCTGACATCATAGTCTGTACTCTGCAGGGACACAATCGGTTAGCAAAAACGAAGATAGTCTCCAACACTGACACCAAATATACCATAGGAACAGTTAGATCGAAAACGAAGATACTCTCCAACACTGACACCGAATATACCATGAGAAGAGTCGATTTTGGGGACCTGCAGATTGCTGGCATCTTACATTGCGTTCTGCAAAGAGCTGACAACGAATTCCTAAAAGTACAGTACCGTTGGGCGCCGAAGAACGGAGCACAGAAGAATGACCAGGCTAGAATTTCACCAAGCACAGCACACCAATGTATACACGGTGACTCAACTGCACATGGACTGTAGCAGATGAACATAGGAACGGTCTAGGCTACAAGGCTGACCCCCAGTTCTTCAGCAAGCGACAGTAACGTTGCTGTCAGAATAATACTTTACGGTGCAGTTGATTGCAAGTGCAAACATACCTTGGCAGGCAGCATCCAATCTTCTTGCCGCCATATGTGCAGCACTCCGTCAGGCTGGGATCTCCATCGGGTGGTGGACACTGGTTGCAAGCGCCATCTGTCATGGCATAAATCAGTACAAATCGCAGCAGACGGCAATGTAGTAACAACTTACGATGTTGATAGAGCTAGGCAAATAGCAATCAGATACTCTTGTAAATAAATCAGCCCCTGCCATGCATTTGGAAACCGCGCACAACCAGTCGCTTCATCTTTATGTTGCCATTAAGCCAAATCTCCGGGTGAGGAGGGCAAAAGAGATAGAGAGAAAGCGAGAGGGAGAGAGAGAGAGAGAGAGAGAGAGAGAGAGAGAGAGAGAGAGAGAGAGAGAGACAGAGACAGAGACACAGAGAGAGCAACTCATACCCTATACCCGGCGCTTCTATAATTCGGCCATGCTACGCTATTGTCCACGAGCTTAACTGAACTGGCGGGGTTGCCGTAAAGAAAACAAATCATCTCAGGAAAGCTCATGACAAATGTTTCATACTACTAAAGTATAACATACCATCTTGATGAGCTGTAGCTTGAAGACCGTCTGTTCACAGCAGAAACACCAAATGATGGTGCAAGAAGTTTGAGTCAGGACAATGCAAGCAAATACAACCAGCAGCAGCATTATCGTGACCACCGTATACGCATATTCTGTGAAAAATACTGCTTTTCCAGGGTAGGATGAGCTACAATACGTCAATTGAGAGTCCCTCCGAAAGTCATTCATAATCTCAGCAGCATAAAATTGGTTTTGAACCAAAGGACCACTCCAGTCTGTTTTGTTCTACCTTGATCCCTCCAGCTCTCACCACTATACAATGGCAACATACTGATGGCAGAGTCTATGAGAAGCACACATCTCATTCTGGAATAGGAATGTGCATTGGTTCATGCCCGTGTGCACTTCCTCCCTGATTCCACTGCGTGATACCCTCTTCAACACATGGGCTGTGTGCATGTATCATACACCAACATACACATTCATTACATAGTCACTACTTCAATACATGTGCGCCTTCTGCTGGGGAAAAGAGCCTTCCTGTTACTTACTAGAGCAGTTCAAAGTCACACTGGCAATTGAGCAGTAAGACGAGTAGCTCCTTTGATCGTGACACCGCAGCTTGAGTGTAGACGTGGCCAGAGCATGTAGGTCCACTACGGAACTGTTGGCACAAGTCCGGGGCAAGCACATCCGAGCACTGAGTGTTGACGGGAACCCATTGTACGGTATCTGCATGAAAAAGACAAAGGCAAACAAACACATAAACACCTTTCTGTCAGGGTATGCTCAGGGAGAGTTACGGCATCTCGAGAGAGTGCTCGATACACCTAGGTACAGAGCCTTATGCACATAAGAAGAACTGAGAAAACAAAGCGTTTCTGCTGTAACTCATCACGGCACTAGCACTGACTGCATTGTTCTGAGGATGAGATTGATATAGCCTTTAGCAAGAGTACATAACCAAGAGTGTGCAACTCCTATCTTGAGCTGCGATGGGTTCACCCACGGCGGAATTTTTTTATTGCGTCATTCTTTGGCAGAAGTATGATGAAGTGGGTATGCTTTCCCGCGCTTGTTTTGTAGATACGGTGAGAGTTCGTCAGGGTCAAAACACATCGATCTATCGTCCGTTGTTCTGCTTCGACTACCGTAGCTGTGATGTACAAATTCTTTGTACTTTGATCTCTGGCTACACATGATGGCATCAGCGAGCCAAACAGCCGCCAAAGACTGATGTCATAAAAAATTCCGCCGTGGACTGGGGGATCGTCGAGTTACACACTCTTGGTTATGTACTCTTGCCTTTAGTAATCCTAGTTTTTAGGAGGGTATGAATTTGAAGCAGAAAAGGGAGCTCTTGTACATCGTGGTACATGTGTACTGTACATGTAGACAAAAAGCGGATTGACATTTGCTGTCCTATCCTCAAGGTAGATTTTACTCCATATACGTGACTGTAGACTGGTAAACAGTAAGAGAAGAAGTCTCGTCATTGGTAATCGTATGACTGAGCATTCCACCATGAGACTGTTGCACAGGCACATTGCACTATTACCTGGAGCTCAGTACAGGCGACTGTGCGCTGATCACGCTTGCAGAACTCCACCAAATCGTCGTCCGAATTGCCATTCAGCCGTTGCTGCGGCACCAAGTCGCCGACATTGGAGCCACAGCCGTAGAGGTAATCCCGCAGCACCCAGTTGCTCACGCAGCTGTCACTGTCGTCATCCATACACTTGATGATCTGAGTGATGCACGTCAAAAAGTTGTCGTTAAAGTCGTGGAAACATTGCCTTGATAATCCGGCAAAGCGTTCGCTCAGGTGCTGTTTTGTCCTGGAGTACAAGAGAAACAAAACAAGACATTTTACCGATTGAGTACCGTCAGTCAACAAATATTCGGAGCGAATTTATTTTCGGCTATTTTCGGCCTGGTCATGTTTGGCTGGAACTTTGTTGCGGCCGAAATTTTGTTTTCCACTGTTCAGTGCGACAGTGTATACAGGCGGCAGCAGTACAGGCCGAAAACCTCATGCGGCCGAAAGGGGTTTTAGCCCTGGGAGGCCGAAATTTGACTGGGCTCAACATTTGTAGACTTACAGTATATGCGAGTATAGGGGAGAGTACAGATGAAAAGATGGTGATGCAGGCTATTGCTACTGCATATGCTGAAGTACATGCATATACCTACATCAAGCAAACAACCCCCCCCCCCCCCCCCCCGCCCGCCAATGTGGCAATGTGACCAAGCTGCCATATGTGACCATGCAGATGCCATACACACAGCACCGTGGATTTGTCCGTGGGGGGAAGAGAGAGTAGCTGTTATGTGTATAGGGCCTGGTTAGCTATGACAAATATGGGTGCGCAAGTAGCTACCCAGGCTAATGGGACAAAAGGTGGCAAAAGGAGACAAAAGGTGAGTACGAGGGTGCATGCAGGCCAGCTTGAAAAGGTTGTAGAACGTACGGGATGAGGTACCTAACATACAGGATAGCGTTAATGTATGCAAGATTTGAATGCAAGACGGTGTTGCACACGATGACTACAGGAACACACGTGGCATCAACCACTTACTTTGGTTTACAGCAGTTGAGGCCAAGGGCGCCTTCACCACCCCACTCGCAGCAGACTTTGCCATCAGGACACTTTGTGTTCGCATAGCAGTTATGATTTTGCACTGCAAAATACCATGAGGAAAACATACAAAAGTGCAAGGTGAAAAATTGACTGGGTATGAGTATAGACCCTATAGTATGTAAAGTGCATTTTTCCATTTCTTATAGTAAAGAAAAGGTCCAAGGAACTACAAGTTACGCTATAATGTCCACTAACACCACCAGTTACTTGACAATCAGCTCCTGCGATAACATTGCACGATACTGACCGACGGTACTTGCGTTCTACAACTAACTGCCTACGTTGGAGTGCGCGTCCAAGACGTGCCAGAGCTCATAGCCAGTTAGTTGTAGAACGTCAGTGCCGCCGGTCAGATTTGTGCAATGCTATCGCATGAGCTGATTGTCAAGTAAATGGTGGTGTTAGTGGATATTATAGCATACCTTGTAGTTCCTGGGTCCTTTTCTGTGGTATAAATTAAATAATTAATCCTTGGCTCTCCATCCAAGTTAAAAATTATTTTTGAACAAAGCATACAAGCATGGGCATACTTCCCAGGATATTGACAAAAAACAGTACTTCAAGGATCGGATTCACCCACTGACTATGTCTCTCTCTCTCTCTCTCTCTCTCTCTCTCTCTCTCTCTCTCTCTCTCTCTCTCTCTCTCTCTCTCTCTCTCTCTCTCTCTCTCTCTCTCTCTCTCTCTTTCCCTCTCTCTCTATCAATCTATCTCCATCTCTATTCTTCATACCAAAGCAGATTGGTCTGTTGGTGTTCCACATGCCTGTAGCATTGCATGTCCTGTTTTCAGAGCCGATGAGTTCGGTGCCTGGATCGCACGAGTACTGAACTTGTGCTTGATACTGGCGGACGCGCCAGCTTGGACTCGGCGTTGATGAGTCATAGTCCCCCAGTCGTGTCACCGTTATCTTGCCATACGGTATATCACTGGTGTTCTGGCCGTACGTCAAGGGAAGGCATTTCTCAACTGCAGAACACAACAATCAACATCCACCAAAGAATGAGAAAAAATTATAAATTTCATGGTTCGCGTGAGACTCGGCTAAAAGCTGAGTTTTCCGCATCAGTAGGAACACCACCACCCTCTACGTTCAAGGCGCAGATGCAGCTCTTAAGCGGTGGGAGGTGAGTGGATCAGACCCACCACAAATTGGTCCAAGACCGAAATCCCCAAAGAAAGAAAATAATGAAAGAGCAGTGGAATTTACTCTGACGGCTTACAAAAGCTGGAATGAGGTGACCGCAGTAAAACTTTTTAACGATTAGAATATCAGGATGCATAGCTGCTGGACATCCGATTGTTTCGAATGCTACATGGTAAGAGCTGCCAAAACCTGTACCAAGAAAATGAATTGTGCATGGTATGGACACAATCCAGATAATAGCTCCCCGGTTCCTTTTCCCCCATACTGTAAGACATGGAAATATAACGAGGAAGCAAATCTAACGTTTTAACGGGTGATGTGTCTTCATTATAATACGTTCTGTTGAGGCTGTAAGGTCACATATGTGTCATGTGTGGATAGGCCTGAGGACTGCAAGATTGTTATCGTATGTTCTCGTTAACCTATGGATTTTGGACAATCGTTAAATTTGCGACTCGTTATAATAACATGTCTTACAGTACCCACAAATACCCACTCTATCATTCTTTGTGGATAAGTTACGTGCCACACATGAACACACCTAAGGGCGCATTCGAATTGTCTTCATCAACTGTTCTAACAAACTTTATAAAGAGATTAGTTGAAGTGTCCCATTAGAGCGGTTTCTATCATTTTAGAGGTTTTCAGTGAAATTGTCATGGCGATGATGACGTCCGATCAGATCGACCATCTCCACGTACTACGTGACGTAGCTATTCCAAACTCTTCGAAACTAATCCACCTTCCCATCGGATGAGTTTCGAGGAGCTTCGTTTTTCTGAAGAGGCCAATAAGGCCACCTCTTCAGAAAAACGAAGCTCCTCGAAAAGTCAAAGAGTGACAATTCGAACGCACCCTAAGTTACATGTGCACACAGCGAGTACAAGAGAGGTCGTACGCACACACCACCAACAATCATCACCTCAATACCTACCGTTACACCAGGGGTTGTACTTGTTCGACCACTCCGGTCCAAGGCAGATTGCAGTTGGCTCAAGAGTACTCCAGCCGGTCTTGCATTCATACCGGATCATGGCACCCTGGGAATAGTTTGTTCCGACCAGTGTTACTCCCGATCCCTCACTGAGACGAGGTTTTGTGCAGTTAATGGCTGCAGTAGATAGCACAGAAATCATTGTAACGTTAAGTTAAAAGCAACGAGCTTGCTACACATCAACAAGCTTATAAAACAGAAAGGTTCCAGGCTGTCCAAGAGAGTGCTAAATACCGAGAGGCAGAGCTGGTTCAAACAATAAGAGGACAGAGAAAGTGCTCTTTTCTGATGATCGCTTTAATAGTGCGTGAAACTCGAACTTTCTCTGTCCTCTTATTGTTTGCATCAACAAGCTTATCATAACGGAAAGTCTTGGGCTGCTTGCTGGCAAATGACAGGGCGGACACAAATGGCTGGTCTCCCAAGACAGGTGGCTGTTAGTGAAAGGTAGTCTCTAAGGACAGGTGATCTGTGTTTGTTAGACTAAAGGTGTCCCATACCGTAGTAGTCCTATGTGACCTTGGTAACGAAAGACAAATTCCGTACCATGTAAAAGCACAGAAAATGATAGGGAAAAACCCCAGGTACTATCTGTAGGGGCTACTAAACCAGCAGCAGTACAGATGAGGAGCAGATTGATTCCTATTGTATTGTATTCGTATTGTTTTTTATCATTTTACTTGGGCATTCCCAACAGACCCTAATGTATTCTTACAGGGTGCCCAAGATGAATGAATTTGTTAAGTTCCTGGCGAAATGAATTGGGGATATGATTTGTGCGAAGGGATTCGGGACGTGCATTAAAGCGGTCAGCACCAAGGAATGAAATAGATTTGTATCCAGCTTGAGCCTGCACAATGGGTAAAGAAAGGGAAATTATTGACTATACTCTAAAGGAACGCACTGCACATGCACTCCGTCCCCCACAGTGTACGACAATTTCCCAAGAGTTGAAAAGGACTGAATGCATGCATGGCATTGTGTGTGTGTGTGTGTGTGTGTGTGTGTGTGCATGTGTGTGTGTGTGTGTGTGTGCATGTGTGTGTGTGTGTGTGTGTGCATGTGTGTGTTTGTGTGTGTGTGTATGTGTGTATGTGTGTTTGTGTGTGTGTTTGTGTGTGTGTGTATGTATGTGTGTGTGTGTACATGTGTGTGTGTGTGTGTGTTTGTGTGTGTGTGTGTGTTTGTGTGTGTGTGTGTATGTGTGTGTGTGTGTGTGTGTGTGTGTGTGTGTGTGTGTGTGTGTGTGTGTGTGTGTGTGCGTGTGTGCGTGTGTGTGTGTGTTTGTGTGTGTGTATGTGTGTTTGTGTGTGTGTTTGTGTGTGTGTGTATGTGTGTGTGTGTATGTACATGTGTGTGTGTGTGTGTGTGTGTGTGTGTGTGTGTGTGTGTGTGTGTGTGTGTGTGTGTATGTGTTTGCGTGTGTGCGTGTGTGTAGGTGTGTGTATGTGTGTATAAGTGCTCGCGAGCTTGTGTCATGATATTGGTTCATTTGTACTGACCGTAGCAATGCGTGTCCATTCCATACAGGCCCCATTCACCGTTGTCGCCACAGGTAACAGGGGTTACTCTCACCCCGATGAACATGTAGTGACGATCGCAGTAATAGTATAGGTCTGTGCCATTGGAGAATGGGGGCTGATTGGGCGGTGAGGTATAATTGTAGCCGCCATGTTTTGAAGGAACTGGAGTAGAGCATATTACGTAACCTAATGCAGTAATATCACGGCAACGTACAGATACCCACATACACACACATACCATGAACACCACACACACACACACACACACACACACACACACACACACACACACACACACACAATGCACACACACGTACACACGTACACACACATACACATACACAACATGTACCATGTATGCGCGAGAGAAGCACACAAATCAACACAAAGACACACACACACACGCATAATATTATATTTGTACTTGCTCACTATCCTGAAGTGATCACGTGGGTCTCCCCAGGGGAGGGGAGTTCAAAAGGAATCTTGGTAAGATAACTCAATTGGCTATTGAACTGCCCAACGCCCCCCCCCCCTCCCTGAAATCTCCCGAGTATCGTTGGATTTGGAAATGACCCCACTTATGCGCTCACAACACCACAGTAAGTGGGTGATGACAAGGTGAAAAAGGATATGCGACATAAAGGTATTTTCCCCGTGTCCTTATGCGTGCCTTTCAATTATTCTAGTAGTTTTCTTAGTTTCTTTGTCTTTTGGCTTTTTGAACTCGTGCCTTTCGCCCTTGCGGCAGTAGCTTAGCTTTTTGGCTCTCCCTGAATCTCACCTTCCAACCGTGAGGCAGAAGCCTTAAATTCTTTATCCACTGACGATGTTGTTCAGAACAACGAAACGTCTGGAAAAGTATCGTAAATATTTCTATCTTTATTAATCATATATACCACTCTTTGGTCTAGAAAGAAGTTTTATTTCTCGCCGGCCGAGCGGAGCGAGTGAGGCGAGAAATGATTTCTCGCGCAACAAAATTATTTGTCTTGCGAATATGGAATCTGATGTTTTCGCTTTTTGTTGCTGTTCTTTTTGCCTGACTCCTTCAGTCAGTTTTTTGTGTCTCACCAGTGTCCCCACCCTCCCACCCTTCATGTCTGCCCATCTTCTTCCATTTCTTTCTTGGCTGTAGATATGTGGTGCCTGTTTTTATGCTGCCAGGTTGCCACTTGGGGTTATACACCCGGTTTTTTCCCTCATTCGTGCGTCCGTCGGCGCGAGGGTTTTTTCCCGGCTGGCTCGGTCCAGAGAAATTAATCTGACGGTCCCAAGTGGTGCTTGTCCTGGCTTATTATGTTAAATGAATGTGCTAATTCCTTCCTCTTGGGGTCTGTCCCCCTCTTGGGGTCTGTCCCCCTCTTGTTGCTCCTAGTTTTCTTCTGCATTCCGGTTCACATCTGGCTGCGGCCTACTACCCTCACTCTGTGTGCTCCTGTCTCTGTTGTCTGGGTCCATGTCGTTATGTCGGTGTATGTGGAGCGAGAATACTTTTTTGATGTTACAATGAGAGTGGCTAATCAATAGCTTGTCCACAAACTCTTAGAAGCTTTAGTCTAGGTTCTTTTCTTGCATGGTTTATTGCAGGACGTTTAGCTTTTTGTCTTTGTTTACTAGTTGAGATATAAGTATTATCTCCAGATGTGCACCGGAGTCAGTTCATTTGCTTGCCACTCGGCCATATACCACACCAGTGTGGGTTGCTAAATCAGAGCCAGGGAGAGATACACTAATAGAAGATCCCCCCCCCCCCGATAGGCGTTAGCCTTTGGGTAATCCTGAAATGAAGATTATTATTAGAGTGGATCTGATCTATCTTTTATAAATGTACCCGCCAATTGAACTAGCTCCCCCCCCCCCCCCCTTCCCACACACACGCACATGTGCACACGTGCACACACACACACACACACACACACACACACGCACACACACACACACACACACACACACAAGCACACACACACACCACACACACACACACACACACACACACACACACACACACACACCCACACACACACACACACACACACACCCACACACACACACACATGGGCAATGGACTCGAAGACACATTTTGAATGGGTGCAATGAATTATTATTTTCCTGAATGAATGAAACCCTTCCTCTGTCAGTGAGTGTCACCTTAGCATGCATGATCGCACTATGATTACGAATGATGTACAGAGTGTAGTTACACAACCTTACTCTGTGCTCCAGTAAGGAAACTCAATGTCGGTGGCAAGAGCAGCAGCAGCACCTTCATTTCTGTAGTTGCGATCATCGCTCTCTCCATCTGCAACATTGGATTTTGACCGAAACCCGATGTCACCCAAACAAAATGTATCAGACTGACAAAAGAGTTATCTTTCTTGTTGAACTAATTTGTGTGGATTACAAGGTATATATATGGGGAGTGGAGCGCTGATACATGATGTGACCCCATAGCCTAGCCATTGGCTTGAGTACATATGACCACCCACGGCATGCTTCTGCAAGCTGCTTTGCCAGGAATCGATAGGCGCAAGGCCAGGGCTAGCGGATGCCATGGCGAACTCGGAACACAAGACCGCGGACGGCATAATTATCTGGTCGGGACCAGAGTCACCATGAAGCATGGCAAGCAGGTCAACAATAGTCCCCCGTCTTCTTGACGTAGATACACGCAGTGACGCAAATAGAGTTGACAGGCTGACACAGTGGCAGTAGCTAGCTGTCATGCAATCAGGCACGTAGACCTACGTCCCCTTTCGGCTTTCGCTCTCACCATGGTATGATCATGATGATGGCCGGGGGTAAGTGTTGCGCTCATTGAGCACTCGGAGTAGTGTATGCAAGCGTAGCTGCCGTTTCAGGTACCTTTGTGGCTTTGGTAGTGAACACATCCCAACCATTCCTACTCAGAACGGTACATTGGAGGTTTCCATTCTCTGATGTTGTCTCTGCTGTCTCGTATCTTTAGTTGTAACATTTTTGCAAGGCGTTCCGGCGTTCTTGATAACAATCATGTATAAGGCGACCACCTGTCCCAGGCCAGGGGACCACTTACCACTACAACCAGGACCAAGGGATGCTACCTCCAGTCGAACGACCCTGGATAAGAAGACCACCTGTACACAGAGACCACGTTTCCAAGGTCCATTGGGCGGTCGCCTTAGACAGGTTTCACTGTAGATCTACATGATTGTACTAGAAGTAGCTTTGCAAGCCTCAGTCCGTAGCATGTGCAAATAGCCCACATGAGATAGAACTGCCGCGTGCATGCGACTTCACTCTTCACCAAGTGGACAGCTGGTCTGGCACAGTGGCAGAAGGAGTCGCCTGCCAGATGGTGAAGCACGCGACCACGAAGCCTGTCTGCGTATAAAACCTCGTTTACACTGCCGGGCTTTTCGGTTTCGGATGGTTTGATTTTTCCTGAGCTTACTAAAATTGTACTGGTATCTGGGATTCAGCACTTCCACAGTCTGGACAGATCTAGCATGACTTGTCGCCTGCAAAGGCTAGGCTGCATCACCAGATCACAGCCCACGTTTTGCCCACCGAAACACTGGCAGCCCATGCTGGGTGCGATGTTTACAAGTAGATCTACTGTCTGTAGATTGTAGAAGTCTACATGAAGGTCTACATGAAGTTCTACATGCAGTCGGCCGGCCACGCTCCAGCACCACGTGTTGGTCCAGCACAATCTGAGGCTAAACCAACACTGGCTTTCCTGTACTTCTTTGATCAAAGCCACGACAAAGGCGCATTATCTGTAAACATAAATTGATGCAGAAATAAGGGTCCTTTCCGCCATATTTTGCGGTGTCCTCTAATTCTCCGCCCGTAATATCTCTTTTTACCTTGTGTTCGAGAAAGGGAGAGCAACATTCTGCCGCGGAGTCAACTAAGTTACTTCCAAGTGCTCAAAGAAACTAGACTAGGCATTGCAGAAGCTCCCACGCTGCTCAGGAAGCTAGCGTTGCGTCGAGCATGGCACGGTTGATTTACCTCTGCGTCGCCATTCACGCTCTCCTCTCGCCCTCTCTTGAAGTTGCGGCGGCAAAAAGTAAGCAAGACGTTCACTGGAAATGAACTGAATACAGGCATGATGTAGTATTATAGGTACTGCACTAGCACTGTAGCGACTAATAACGGACTATCCTTGTACTCTTGTAGAAACGTCTGTAGCCGGTACTTTTGTGTAACGACTTACGTAGATAGATGTATGGCGTAGGGAGGTACTTCTTTAGTGAGTGGTGAGCTTATGAAGTGAAGTGAAGTGATAATGGTACACGGGATAATGGCAACACGTCTAGATATCACACAGTCAGCTGCGGTGTGTATGTGCTTGGAGGTAGAAAGCGCGCATTCATTCTTGTTTCGGTACATGTAGTATGTAAATCTGCCGGAGAGTTTGATGTTTCAATGCCAATAGTGTGCTGTGGCAAAATATCGTAGTGATACTTCTCATTTCAGTATGATCTCCGATAATTCATCACCGCCGTGGTCGTAGAGAGTAGATCTTATCATCTAGCCAACATTTCAGCGTAATACGTTTTGCAAGAGGGCCAGGTCCACGACTCCCCGTGGAACGTGATCGTGGTGATGCTGGCAAAGGCGACTACTACTACATGTACAGAGTACATTAGCTTCCTACATCCAGCTTGTGAGCAGCGTCTAGTCTGGTAGCTGGTGACTTCTTCAGCGGACGTTTGTACACTAAAGGGAGTTTTCCGTTACTTTCCGTCCTTGGTTCTCATGCATCACATTCTGGTACAGGCACATGACCATTGTTATCTCAAGTGGGTGCAAAGGACAGGCCTGGACATGCATGAGCTACTAAAAGTCGGTTTTCAAGTACCGGACATGCATACTTTTAGCTGGACATGAATTTTATTATTTATTTTTACCAAATGTATGTTCACATACCCAGCTTGAAAAGAATAATGAATGACAATGGTACAGAGACTAGGACAAACGTGACTAATGAGCAGGTGCTGCACCGAGAGAGGTTAGGGACCGGCGGATTCTGCTCGAAAAGGCGGCAGATTCTGCTCGAAAAGCAGTGAAATTGGCAGAACCATACAAACCTTATGGCGGGCAATTCCTCGAATTCTGCTTCATTTTTTATCCACGTACCAAACATGCATGAAACTTACCAGAAAAAGTACCGAATTCTGCCAATTTTTCTGCCGGCAGAATCCGCCGGACCCTAACTGAGACGCAGCAGTGATGGTGGGGCATTGATGGCTCTGCCAACCTGAGGTCTCGGCATCACGGCCGAAAACACACACCAAAAATAATAATAAACATTAAAAAACCTGTATGGGTCAGAAAAATAAGAGAAAGGAAAGCTTGAGAAACTATGTAGGAATGAATGACACTGTACACACTCAATGGCCATCATTGATTATGGCCAAGTGCCAAAACGTTGTGAATAACGGAACTGGTTCGGATGTACAGCGCTATGGGAATGGGTGTGTCCACCCGAATTCCTTATTAGCACATTATATCAGCAATTACCCTCCAATTTTAGTTGAGCACTCACAGCGCTGTTTTTGATCTGTCTAAAATTAAAAAAATATGTGTGCCTATTGTCGCCATGGCCGGCAGTTCAGTTCTTGTTTCGCTCATTGTTATAGTGATTGGGTCTCATTGATCGAACCAGCTAGTTGCCTAAAGGATTGAGGAAAATCGACTCTTCTGTGATAGTCATAATATGTGGAGGAAGTGGAGCATTCATGATTGCAAGCTGACACTGAGCCATGGGAAGCAAAAGACTTCACGTCATTTTCCACCACTGTAAGTCACAGTAAATACGTCAACCCATGGTATTCAATAATTTTTCAAGGTGCACTAAAACTTGTCAACGACGAACCCAGAGGCAAAGGAGATCCCTCAGATAATGCGAACTACGTTTCGGGACTCAAGGATGAGCAGCGCCTTTTATATAAACAGCAATGACGAATTCCGATAAAACAAATCCTAAAACTGAGTCTCGAGAGGCCAAAACTTGGCTGATAATAATTTGTACTTGTCGGTGGAAAGTGGTCTTTTGGAACTCGGTCTGGCTAGTAGTTTTTGGATTGGACACAGCATCTAGGAACGTTTTCCGTTTCTCAGCTTGCACTTCAGCCAGTTCAGTTCAGGCACATTGTACTCTTTGGGTCTGAGCTGCTGTCTTCATGCCTTGCATCTCCCGGAGTGGTTGTCCAGCCATTACATCGTGCAACCTGCTCTGCATCACTGCTAGTACATATACCGTAAAGTACCGTTGATCCCCCCCCCCCCCCATGCCAAGTCGCTTCCCAGCTGGATTTTCATGGGGGGGGGGGGGGGGGCGGGAATTCGATCAAGGCTGTTTGGTGCAGTGTCGTTGTACGACAATGCGGTGTTGTATCTTTCAGACGCAAACAGGTGAGAAAGGTCAAACTCGACGTACACATTCACACAGACTCTCACCCGAATGTTTGTTTGCGCAGTAGAAAGTAGTAAGAGGTTGGCTGTATGCATATGGACATGAGTACAGAAAGACGCATAATTTCTCTACCGTATAATTCTGAAGTCGCTTCAGGGACAGAAAATCGAGGGGGGGGGGCGGGAAATGGAGTGGGGGCGGATCAACGGTACTTTACGGTACAGCTGCAGCATGCGACCTTGAGGTCTCTCTACTTTTCACCGCCACAACATATCTTCTTGATACACCATAAAAACATGACTTTTGAAAACATTTGTCATGATATTTTGTCATTCTTGGATTTGACAAACCTCACTTTAAGACGACTGTTTTCTCCGGACCCGGGAGAGTGTGTGGCATGTTAATTTTGAGAAACTGGTGTATCTAAGTATGGAGTGGTAAGTTTTGATTGCATGAGTGCAGTGGCACAATCCTGTTTGATTATAGACACTTGGGGTCAAATGTCATTATTTTATCAAGTACTCCTGATAAGTATGATTTCGTTCTCGTGTATGATCCCTAAATAGGAATGCTTCTCACTACCTTGTTACACCTTGTTTCTTGTGTACCTCAGCGTGTCCTCCGCCAACTGGGTTTGGGTACAAGATCAACGTCGCACCAGGACCAAACAAGAACGGGCAGTACACCCATGGCAAAGTGGTGACGTTCTCCTGCCCACCTCACGGCTATACAACTCATCCTGACCCGCCACCGAAGGCCACGTGCCAGAGCGACGGCTCCTGGAACGTGAACTTCACAGCGACGCCGGTCTACTGTCAATGTAAGGTGCACTGTATTGTAAAGACTGTACTGTTTGGAGTCTCACCCTCCATCTGTGTCTCTCTCTCTCTCTCTCTCTCTCTCTCTCTCTCTCTCTCTCTCTCTCTCTCTCTCTCTCTCTCTCTCTCTCTCTCTCTCTCTCTCTCTCTCTCTCTCTCTCTCTCTCTCTCTCTCTCTCCTCTCTCTCTCTCTCTCTCTCTCTCTCTCTCTCTCTCTCTCTCTCTCTCTCTCTCTCTCTCTCTCTCTCTCTCTCTCTCTCTCTCTCTCTCTCTCTCTCTCTCTCTCTCTCTCTCTCTCTCTCTCTCTCTCTCTCTCTCTCTCTCTCTCTCTCCTCTCTCTCTATCTCTCTCTCTCTCTCTCTCTCTCTCTCTCTCTCTCTCTCTCTCTCTCTCTCTCTCTCTCTCTCTCTCTCTCTCTCTCTCTCTCTCTCTCTCTCTCTCTCTCTCTCTCTCTCTCTCTCTCTCTCTCTCTCTCTCTCTCTCTCTCTCTCTCTCTCTCTCTCTCTCTCTCTCTCTCTCTCTCTCTCTCTCTCTCTCTCTCTCTCTCTCTCTGTGTCTGCGTACAATGCAAAAAAACACGTGTATTCTGCCACCAGGATGCCAGAGAGGATTCCTGTCAGTCTACGTTGCCTTCACTACATCCGCATTAATATCATCCCTCCCTGTGCATTTGCTTTTATAGCATACTCTGGTCCCTAGACTGCACGTCTGATTAATCAAGCCACATCAGCCACTCTTCCCGTGAGAGTCAGCATGGAGAGAAGAGGAGAGAAGGATCAGAAACTTAAAGGGGAAGTATACCCTAAAATCAAATTTTCACCAGTTGTAGTCTTCGGGGTGCTGAGTCGAATGGTCTTGGTCCGAGGAAGCTGAGACGCTCCTTCCTACTTGAATCCCAATCGAACTCGCGCACTTCCACCGAAACTGGGTGACTGCGCCCTACTAGATGGGGATTTGTATGCAAAATGTCACTAAAAGCGCCATTTCGTTCTTATAAAAGCACGGATGACCGCGATTGGCCCATATATTGTAGTCTTTTGGACGCTGAGTCGACTGGTTTTGGTCCGAAAAGGCTGCGATGCAGCGTTCCTCCTTTATTCCCAATCGAACATGGTTGAAGAAGCGGTCGCGTGCTCCTGGGTGCCCAAATCACCTGGTCACCGCGCCAGCAGGCGACAACTTTCACACCAAGGTTCAACTCGAGTTCAACTCGAGTGACAGGACTGCACCCAAAAAAGGTCAAACAGGCTAGTAAGTTGTACCCTGCAAGCACGGTGACCAGCTGACTGGTGTACGCAGGAGCACGTGACCGCTTGTTCAACCATGTTCGATTGGGAATAAAGGAGGAACGCTGCATCGCAGCCTTTTCGGACCAAAACCAGTCGACTCAGCGTCCAAAAGACTACAACATATGGGCCAATCGCGGTCAGCCGTGCTTTTATAAGAACGAAATGGCGCTTTTAGTGACATTTTGCATTCAAATCCCCATCTAGTAGGGCGCAGCCACCCAGTTTCAGTGGAAGTGCGCGAGTTCGATTGGGATTCAAGTAGGAAGGGAGCGTCGCAGCTTCCTCGGACCAAGACCATTCGACTCAGCACCCAGAAGACTACAACTGGTGAAAATTTGATTTTAGGGTATACTTCCCCTTTAAAGGGGAAGTTAAGGCAAAAATTAAAATTTCACCAGTTGTAGTCTTCGGGGTGCTGAGTCGAATGGTCTTGGTCCGAGAAAGCTGAGACGCTCCCTTCCTACTTGAATCCCAATCGAACTCGCGCACTTCCACCGAAACTGGGTGACTGCGCCCTACTAGATGGGGATTTGTATGCAAAATGTCACTAAAAGCGCCATTTCGTTCTTATAAAAGCACGGATCACCGCGATTGGCCCATATGTTATAGTCTTTTGGTCGCTGAGTCGACTGGTTTTGGTCCGAAAAGGCTGCGATGCAGCGTTCGCCCCTAATTCCCAATCGAACATGGTAGAACAAGCGGTCACGTGCTCCTGCGTACACCAGTCACCTGGTCACCATGCCTGCAGGGTACAACTTACAGCCTGTTTTGACCTTTTTTGGGTGCAGTCCTGTCACTCGAGTTAAACCTTGGTGTGAAAGTTGTCGCCTGCTGGCGTGGTGACCAGGTGATTTTGGCACTCAGGAGCACGTGACCGCTTCTTCAACCATGTTCGATTGGGAATAAAGGAGGAACGCTGCATCGCAGCCTTTTCGGACCAAAACCAGTCGACTCAGCGTCCAAAAGACTACAACATATGGGCCAATCGCGGTCATCCGTGCTTTTATAAGAACGAAATGGCGCTTTTAGTGACATTTTGCATACAAATCCCCATCTAGTAGGGCACAGTCACCCAGTTTCGGTGGAAGTGCGCGAGTTCGATTGGGATTCAAGTAGGAAGGGAGCGTCTCAGCTTTCTCGGACCAAGACCATTCGACTCAGCACCCCGAAGACTACAACTGGTGAAATTTTAATTTTTGCCTTAACTTCCCCTTTAAGTGTTGTAAATCGGATCCATCCATGCTATAAGCAACCACCTGTCTTTGAAGACCGGCTTTTCTTTCACCCTCTGACCCTGCTTAATAGCACAGTTGTGACCAAAGACTCTGTGTTGTGTGTTCAAATTCTGGTGCATGCTAGGCAACACAGTGGAACATGCATTGGTTGATATTGCATGCAGGGAGTATAATGTCCACTAGTAGCTTACACAACACGACTGGGAAAGCCTCAGGAGTCAGACCAAGTTACAGGCCGTGTAACACTGCTCCTGTTGATCAAATTGGCTGAAATATTGAATTTGCCTATTCCATGTACTGTCCACTGATGATAATGTTTCTTCCATTGTGGGTTCACCTGTGGTGCACGGAGAAATGCGACTCAGCCTGGCAGCCGTAACGAACCAAATCCTGGAAGCAAGACTTTAAAGAATATAAATCCGCTGGACTGTCGTGCGTAGTTATGTAGGAGTTCGTACGAGTTGGTGGGTGATTGAGTATTCATAGCGGGCGGGCAGGTGCTGGAGTCATGCTGTTAACATCGTGCAATTGCTTTGCTGTGTTATAGTGGTGTCATGCTCACCCATCGATGACAATTATCTGATCCCATTTGGAAGTGCGGGCGGTGCGGACCCAAAGTACACGCCTGCCGATCGCCAGCACATCTTCGGAGCTGTGGTGACATACACATGTGATGTGGTGACATACACATGTGATCCTGGCGCAACCGTATCTGGCAATGGTACCAGTGTTTGCCAAGAGGACGGCACGTGGTCTGGCAATGCCCCGTATTGTACTGGTAAGCCATAACGTATTGCCTCCAATGCAGGGACACGTGCTTGCTGCTAGTACTGCCGGCTTGGTTTGACGCTTGAGTTTTGTTAACAAGTCTACGGGCGTGTTTCTGGTGCACTGTGTAATTGCATCACAAGCCACTATCGTTCATTCTTGTTGGTATACGTAGAGATGTGTGTTGTGCTGCAGTGGTGACGAACACTTGTGCATGTCCATTGCAAATCCCCTCTTTGTGGGTTACCTGAAATAGTTTTAAAAGAATTAATCATCAGTATACCGGTCACTATTGTCTGAGATGACAATACAGGTATGTTGGGGCACTATTTTCTTAAAATTGGCAATTAAATTAGACAGATTTTTCGTGGCAAAAACATGTTTTCCATTCTTGTCTGTGCTCTTAGTACCGCCTCAGACCTGCAAGTCCTGCGCAAGTTCCAAAACTGGCTTAACTCAATGCTGCTCAATGCAAACAGATGATCTGGGCTGCTGCTCCAAAGCGTAAGTTAAAGACCTTGTTCTGTGTCGAATTGTCTCTCTGACGTGGCCATTAAATCAGGAATAATTTCAATTATGAATAAGAGTACATGAATGTTATTTGTGGTGTGATGAGATATTCAGGTGACAGTGGTCCTGCTTGAGCATGTGCTAGGGCAAACTTTACCTTTACTGATGCAAAAGGAATGCTGTATCTCATTTCCATTATATCTTTCCGCACACTCTGCGTTACTTTGTGCACACATGCCATGATTCCATAGGGCTCAACAAACCATCAGTGCTAGATTCGACGGCCTCCCGAAAAGCTGTGCTGCAGACCTGGAGAAGGAGCTCCTTCCTTGCGGCGGGCGTCTTCTGAAATGCTTTGATTCACCGACCACCCTTCAGAACACCGAGGATTGCCAGAAGCCCCTGCCCAAGTTTGGATGCTATCATAACCGAGTAAGTGCCACCCTCTTCTCATCATGTACACAACTGATCTTCAGGAAACGTATATGCAATGTATATGATATATTTGGCACGCAACACTCCATGTTGACGTTGTCCGGGAAATCAACATGTTCAACTATTTTTTAAGTGCATTGTATAAGCACCCTGTCATATAAAAGATTTTGATCCTTTCATATAATGGCTACACGTGTAATCGGGGTCGGTTGGTTTATTGCTTATCCGCAGTTGACACCTGCCCACTCCCACACAACTACCATCACCCTGATTAATACCTGTGTGCATCATTACAGAACCCAGCACTGTGAACTGCCTATTATCCATGATGTATTGCTGTTCGTAGTTTTCGCGAGACGAGCATTACGCGAATTTTAACCAGCGTGAAAACAAACTTTAACGGTGGGTGTGTATAGGCGGTCACAGTGGTTCGTGAACATTTTCCGTCGTGAAATCTCTGGTTCTAAGAAGTCACGAAAGTTTAGTAACACACGTATGGATGGTTTTATAGCACTTTGAAAAGTAGTCGATTAGAATTTTTCTCCATGTTGGGGTTAAAAAGAGCAGGCACCAAGATCAGTTTGCTAGTTGGTAGTCTGACCACTTACAGTCAGTGTGGATTGGAGAAATTTTGTCTGTGCTCATCAGCAACATATGAACATCACAGGAACTGCACAATTGATGTGACTGTCATAGCACTCTTCGTGCAGGGCTGGCCAAAGTTTGCAATGCCAGTGCCAAATGTGAGGTTCCGATCGGCTGATCACTGCATTTTGGCAGGATATCAGAAATTGATGTTGATACTGTGTTGTTATGCACAAGTACAATGCAAGTCGCAATGACACCGTAAACCTGCTGCCGCTTCTAAGCAGGGATGTTCTTTTCTGTGCTGCTCTGGTAGGGTAGGTTATGAGAATGTGATACTTGTATTATCACTATGTCGTTATGTACAAATACGATGCATGATGCAACGACACCGTCAATCTGCTGCCCCTTCTAAGCGGGAATGTCTTTTTATGTACTGCTCTGCTCAGGTTCTGCCGGTTAGTTTGGGCAAGGACTTGGATGGGAACTGCTCGGCTCTAGCTACATCATCAGACCCTGTTTCGTGTGTGCTGACAACTACGGAATCCCTTGGAGGTAAGAGAACTGAAAACACTCGATATACGCAGGTGTGCGGTGATGTATACTAGTAATTGTATTACTCAATCTGCGTGGTAATCAGATTATAATTTTTTGAAGGTGCGCGCTACGTATGGTGGTGATCATGTGACGTACTGCTTTCGATCATTTTGTCCCGAATTTTGATAGTACAATCATGCTCATTACTGGCCGTGGCAAAGCTTATCACGTTCATCAATTACTTTATACTCGAGTACTGGCGAAGTACAATATTGGCTGCATTCAGGGGCGTCGCACACGGTACGGTCACTACGGTATTGACGGTACCACTTTTTGCCCCAGGTACCCGTGAATCAACAAAATACACTGATCTGGGATCTAGAATTCCAAAATTTTCGGCTCAGCGACCACTCCCCCACGAGTAAATTGTACTTCTGATGGCTGACCGTACCACACTAAAATACCTTCCGACGCCCCTGGCATTGATGTGCTTTTGGGAATGTTTCTTGTGCCTTTGTTTCCTTACTATGAAGGCACCCAGTACCCGCAAGGCCTGTGCCTCCCGTCGAGCTGTGCTGGCGATCAGGCCACAATAGACAAGATCGTGGCGTCGACGCTGGAAATGGACTGCAAGCATGACATGCTTGTCGACAAGCTGGGATTCTGCGTGGCCTCCTCTCTCTCCCTCACCTGCTCCAGTAAGTCAGTCTCAGCATTTTCGCCTGTGAAATTTCACGATGTGTGGATAAAGTTAGTGGCAGTGGTGAGGCGTCCACAAGCTTCACTCATAGGTATTGGTTTTTAAATCAGACATGAAACCTGATGAGGGCAACTTTGCCAAAACGTCGCAATAATCATTGATTGAAAAACCAGTTGGATATGGTTGCAGAGTGAATATGAAGAGCTCTAAAAACCACTTCCTGTGTGGATAAGGGACTGACTAATTGTTATCACGTGTGCTGCATTTGTGTGTTCTCCTCCAGACAATAAGAAGTCAACAATGACACCATCATATCCTGGTACGTAATCCACCAGTTCTATCAACGTTCGATGAGCAGAGCATTAGAGCATCTGGTGCGAGTTCTTATCTATGTTCATGTAATTATATTTATGGCAGCACTTCAAGTAGCAGGGGTAACACCAGCCAATGTGAAGAGAGTGGGTGTGAGTAGGGGTTGTGAGGGGAGGGGAAATAGAGAAGCAGCACTGGGGATAGATCTTTCTGTGCCAGGGTTGGGTCCACGCTGAGGGGCTCAAGTCCAGTCACAACCGGCAGACTTGATGTGAGAAAAGCCTCTTTCACGGGCAAAACAAACACAATGGATTAATGCAATGCAGACTTTATGTCCTGCTGTGAAGACAACTGCTGCAAACGTATCCTTTACCAATCTGTACAAAACCCCGGACCAAAGTAAATCACATTTAGTCGGTATTGTCATCGGTCCAGCCCGGCCACAAGGCATTCCTTTCCAATCATCTTTCCCTTTCCTTTGTGTTTAGGCTTGTGCCAAAAAGACAAGTGCCCGAAAGCGCCATATCCTACTTGGACGGAATGCTGCGCTTTCAATTCCACTGAGTCTGGATGTTGCTCCTCTGTGTAAGCTTCCGTTTTTATAACTTTTCCAAATTTCGTGTCGGTGTCATTTGTGCTTTCATAATTTTGTGCTCTGAATTCTACACCGGCAGAGCACACATTCGATCGAGCACATTCAAGTTGCCCACATGTGCATATCTGCATGACTGAAGATTGCATGACCGACTATTTCAATATGTTCGGAAGGGACAAAGATTATCGATATTGGCTCAACTACCGAGCTGGAAATGATGTGATGCGTGTTTTTTGTTGTGATGCAGAGCTAAAGATGTTCTGAATAGCCGGTTTGCACCGCTGGATGCATCACCCAAGTGCTCTAGGGCACTGCACGGTCAGCTGTCATCATGTATGTCTCAATTGACGCAGTGCCTCAGCAACACCACAGGTAAGACACAATGATCCAGAAGAAACTTGACTTGTACAATAAGACCTCGCTTATCAAGTCCTCTTTTATCCGTATCCCTCGCCATCCTGAAGAAAATCATTGGTTTCTGATTTACAGCATATGCCGAGCATACATACGGTATGTGTGTCCGATTATCCGGTTCCCTCGCCTATCCGGATATTTTTGTGGAAAACGGATGTGTGCTGTTATGCGAGGTCTGACTGTAGAAGAAGGTGGCTACTCCAAACGTTGGAGCTCACGCTTTTTGGCGACTGACTGACAATTGGCTGACTCACGGCTGCCGTCTGGATTACACAGGAAGAATGCTGGGTTGTCCGCTAAACAAACCTGCAAGAAAGCACCACTCCCTACACTTTACTTTCCCAGATAATATCTGAGCTCGTCGCCGAACTACCTACATGGCTCTATTTCTGTTTTTCTGTAATGTTTATGTTGAGCTGGTAAGCTGCTTGCAAGGATGAAAGATTGATGGCCTCGGACCCCCCCCCCCCCCTCCCATGCCAACTGTTCAAACCTGCATGTTATTTTTGTCCCTTTGACTGATGATTACACATACAGGTACAGACTATTTCCCCAACTGAAGGACAGTGGTGGGCTCAGCATGAATAGTCACAAATTCATGTCCCAAGCAACAGCTCTGAGAAAAAAATGTTTGATCAACATTTGCAGACGTTCCTGGGACTACAAACTTCCTGGCTCTTTTTGCCATTCACCACCGACCTGTTTCCCTGAGTCCTTTCGCTATTGCCAAGTATAGTCCTAAGCGAAGTCACCAGAAGCTCCTGATGGTATTCATTTGTCGAAATGTCATCCAGTTGTACAGGCATTCCCAACGTTAGAACACTCCAGAAATATATTCTGAACGCGGTGGTCCGGACAGTGATGGAGGAAGCCGAAATTGAAAATGATGTTGACACGTGTGTATGTGTATATATGTGGGGTGCGCGCGCGCGTGTGTGTGTGTGTGTGTGTGTGTGTGTGTGTGTGTGTGTGTGTGTGTGTGTGTAGTAGTTGGAGTAGGAAGCACTTTTTTGAGCTCTGCTGGTTCACAAGCTTGCTTAGCTATAATATCCCCAGGGGTGGCCTAGGGCCACCCCTGGCTAGGTTGTGAGTATGGTGCGTGGAGACTTGGGAAGCAATGACGGGGCAACGCCTGATGTTGCCACTTGCAACCCGCCACGTACCCACAACACCTGCGACGGTTTTGCAAACCTCCAGGTAGACCCCCTTGCACGAAGTAGGAGACGGAGAAACGAAGCGTTTGTGTTGAAGTTTTGTACCTGGAACGTCAACAGCTTAGTGGAGAATGATGGAAGCATCGAGACAGCTCGTCACGAAAGAAGCTTGCCCGTCGCGGAAGACAAAAACATTCAAATTGTTCTTCACCAAATTCAAAATTTGAATTTCTCAGTCGCAGGTCTTCAGAAGACGAAATGGTTCGGCGATCACGAGTATTTGATCAGTGGAGCGTCTGTTCTAAATGCAGGACGCCCCGTCCCAACAGAGCGAGGAATGCCCGCATATCGCGGCGAGGGAGTTGCAATCGTTCTTTTAGGTTTGGCCCAACGAGCGTGGAAAAACGGCGGGTGTCAGTGGCGAGCTGTCAGCTCGCGAGTTGTTGTGGCGAAACTGTTGTTTGGCGATCAGTGGCTGCATGTCATTTCCTGCTACGCTCCAACGTTCGCGAGGCCTCGCCATGAAAAGGAGAAATTTTATGGCGAACTTCGTGATTGTCTGTTATCCATCCCGGAGCGCGATTTGTACGTCGTACTTGGTGACTTCAACGCCCGTGTTGGCAGCAGCCCAGGTCATGAAGAGGACGCATGGAGGCAAGTGCGTGGTCCTTATGGCGTTGGTACCATGAATGAAGCTGGTGAGGAACTGTTGAGCTTTCTATCCATGTTCAACTCTCGACTCTGTAATACGTACTTCAAGAAAAAGGACATTCATAAAGTTACGTGGCAGCACCCACGTTCACAGCACTGGCACTGTATTGATTATGTGATCACTCGGCAGCGGGATTTTCAGCGCTGTACAGATTGTCGTGTGTACCGGTCTGCTGAGTGTGGGACCGATCACAAACTTGTTGGGCTAACGTTGTCACTTGGTTGCCGCCGGCGTTTCTACCCGCCAAAGAGCAAGGCCCCTGATCGCCGTCGCTTTGATGTATCCCAGCTCGGACCTGCTGACCCAACTGCATCAGAGGATGATGATTTAGTAAGGCAAGCAACTGTGGCGGAGTGGTACCATACCTTATTCGACTGTTTGCAAGATGCTGCACCAGGGACCTCAATTCAGGATCAATGGAGTTCACTACGGGACGCCACAGTTAAAGCAGCTACATCTGTCCTAGGCAAGAGTCGCCGTCGTCAGCCAGATTGGTTCTCAGCCAGTTCCGCCACTCTCGAGCCTCTCCTTGCACATCGTAACACTCTATTCCAGAAATCTTTAGCAGATCCATCACCTCTGGTCCGGCGAGAGTTTGTCCGCGCGCGCTCAGCTGCAAGGGATGCTGTACGCAGTGCTAAGGAGGACTGGTTCCGTAAGACTGCGTCTGATGCCGAATCTAGGAAGTTTGGGTGTAAGGCTGTGTGGAACAGCATCCGGGATCTACAGACTGCCCGGCGCGGATTGATTCCCACTAAGTCGTGCCTGATCAAACAGACTGATGGCTCACCATGCTCGTCCGTTGAGGCACAGCAGAACCGCTGGTCTGAACATTTCGAAAAGCTGCTGAACCTTCCAAGCGGCTTTGTCCGATCTGAAATTGACTTGGTCCAGCAGCGCAACATCATGGAACACCTGGCCACCCCACCCACTGCTGAAGAGGCCCAGCGCTGCCTTCGCTATCTTACGAACGGGAAAGCTGCTGGAAGCTCCGGCATTCTACCGGAAATGGTCAAATACAACTGCGACCTATTCTATGCCAATCTGTTTAAGCTCATTACCGCGGTTTGGGAGGAGGGCGTAGTACCGCAAGATTGGGTGAATGCTGAGATAATACCGATACCCAAGAAGGGTGACCTCACTAGCTGCGACAACTGGCGTGGCATCGCACTCCTCGACGTCATTGGCAAGCTGTTCGGACGCCTGCTGCAAAACCGATTGCAGAAAGTCGCCGAAAGTGTGCTGCCTGAATCACAGTGTGGTTTCCGGAAAGGTCGCTCCTGCACGGACATGACGTTTGTTGTTCGCCAGGTTGTGGAGAAGTGTCACGAGCACCAATCCAAGGGATTCCTGGTGTTTGTCGATTTGAGGAAGGCATACGATTCTGTTCCGCGTGCTGCACTGTGGATTGTCCTGCTGAAGCTGGGAGTCCCGGAGCAACTGGTCAGCCTTCTGAAGTCTTTTCACGACAACATGACAGCCACGATCATCGTTAATGGTTCCCCCACTGAAGGCTTCCCAGTGTGCAACGGATTGCGCCAAGGGTGTACAATGGCACCAGTCCTTTTCAACTTGTTTGCTGGTGCAGTGATGGAACGTTGGTGCGCACGCGTCCAAGAGCGTGGAGTGTCTGGTTTTCCACTCCGTACCTGTGCCGATGGTCAGCTTTTCAAGAGATCTAAGCGTGGTAATGATATGGTCATCACAGATGGTGAGTTTGCTGATGATGCAGCCTTGTTTGCACCCAGCCACTCGGATGCTCAGCGTATGCTTGAGATATTTGCGGAGGTCAGTGGAGCATTCGGGCTGTCTCTCAACATGGCAAAGACAGTGTTCATGGCTGTTGGGCATCAGATCAACGACAGTGACCGTACCCCGCTAAGCGTACAAGGCAACGCCATCCAGCATGTCAGCCAGTTCACATATCTCGGCTCAGTGGTAACACCAGACGGACGATGCCACACCGATGTGTCCAACCGCATAGCTGCTGCATCTAAGGCCTTCGGCAGCCTCTACTCGTCAGTTTTTTGGAACACTTCACTAACATCCAAGACGAAACAACACACGTACACATGCTGTGTGTTGTCGGTGCTGTTGTACGGGGCTGAGAACTGGACACTGTTGCGTGCCGACATACGTCGCCTTGAACAATTCCACAACCGCTGCGTTCATTCTCGGCATCTCGCGTTCCAAACAGTGGGAGGACCACCTGTCATCTGCCTCGCTGCATAGAATGTGCGTTACAGAGCCAGTTGCTGACATGGTTGCCCGTCGACGGCTGCAGTGGCTTGGCCACATTGCCAGGATGGACGACCACCGGCTTCCAAAGACAGTGTTGTTCTCGTGGCTCCATACTCCACGCCCTGCTCATGGCCCCAGGCGTCGATGGCGTGATGTGGTACGCGATGACCTCAAGGCGTTGGGTCTATACACCGGTTGGTACGACCTCGCAACTGAACGTGGCGAGTGGATCCAGTCCATCTCGGATGCTATTGTTGCACGGCGCTTACGCCTTGAAACGACAGCCAAGTCAGTGTGTTGTGCGATCTGTGAGCGACTCTTCGCCAGTGAAAGCGGACTTCGGCGGCACAAATGCAGGGAAGAGCGACTGAAGCTGATCCATGAACAGGCCGGTGCTGTGTTGTGCGAAGCGTGCCATCGTTGGTTTGCTAGCCGAGGTGGATTTGCTGTGCACAGCTGCTCTCCCAGTCTTGGTGACGCTCCAGTTCCAGAGATTGTTGCACCTCGCCCACCTGATTGCAGCCAATGTCATTACCACTGCCACACCTGTGACCGCTGTTTCCGGAGCAAAGCTGGGCACCGCCGGCACAACTGCAACTCCAACCGCAGAACATGCAGCTCTGGCTCTGAGCGCCGCACCATCCCATGCCCGACCTGCTCTCGGAAGTTCACACGTCTCCAGTACCTGGCTCAACACAAATGCAAGAAGTAACTCTGCCCTCCTTGCCTCTTTGAGGCACTGCATCACCTTTAGGTGGCAGTTTCAAGGTTTCAAGGTGTGTGTGTGTGTGTGTGTGTGTGTGTGTGTGTGTGTGTGTGTGTGTGTGTGTGTGTGTGTGTGTGTGTGTGTGTGTGTGTGTGTGTGAATGGTGTAATCCCAGCACAAGTTGCTATGTCTAACATAGCTGTTCGCTATCATCGCTTCCGCGATGGGCATGTCTGAGGTCTGAGGTCTGAGGTGTGTGTGTGTGTGTGTGTGTGTGTGTGTGTGTGTGTGTGTCCCATTTGGTGCAGTGGTATGTGCAGCGATTTCCAATCGATAGGTTGCGGGTTCGACTCCCGACGATTATGGTCGCACACGTCTTTCTTCTCTTTCTCAGACTCCCCCTGACTTTTCTTTCATTCTCATGGGTGGTTACCAACAGCCAGTGCATGCCGGAGTATGTGGTGTGATGTGTGTGCGTGAAAAACAAAATGAAAAAGACCAAAAAATAGGGATTCAGTGGCCAGAAAAAGCCACTTCATAGCTGTGTGGTGTAGACCAGGCTGAATAATGGCGGTCAATTCTTCAGCCTTGCAAGCTGTTGAATGGTGCAATCCCAGCACAAGTTGCTATGGCTTCTGCTGTAGCATCGCTATCATCTCCTCCGGCGATGGACGTCAAATGGGCGTCAAAATGGTGTGTGTGTGTGTGCGTGTGTGCTTGTGTGCGTGTGCTTGTTCGTGTGTGTGTGTGTGTGCGTGTGTGCATGCATGTTTACTGTACAGGAACCAACACGTCTAACTGTCCAAACCTTCATGGCTGCACTGTGCCAATACAGACTGAGCAGACTTGTACTCAGTACGCCGGGGCCAATTCAGTCTATTGCACCAAAACCTGTGCAGGTGAGGCATGAGTCAGTGCAACAGCCCCCCCCCCCCCCCCCTCCCCCCTGTGGGAGAATTAGCCTATTATTATTACATACCAGCGAAGGTTTATACAATGAATAAGAACAAATGCAAAGGAGCCATCAAAACTACGCTCCTTTCTGCACAAAACAGCAAGAAAGAACTAAGGAACAAAAGAGATCGCGTGCCTTGCGAACACAGGCACGACAGGCTAAATCAGGTACAGCAGAAGAGAATACGTCATGATGTACAAGAATGCATAAGTACTTACGCAAGTCAGTACGACGTAAGAAGAGCAGCATGAAGTAGTACACTGTACACATCAAGGGGGGGGGGGGGTCATTCTACTTCACACCCCCCCTGTCCAAGAAGAAAAGAATATACTGGATGTGTACGTGTCATTATATTGTGAATTCCCTGCACCATTATAAATGGATTGTGATTAGTTGTTGAAATCCAGTCTGGACAATGAGATCGATACCTTCCATAATCAATATTGATGTATCGTATTAAATTGCAGGGTAGTATAATAAACAGCAAGTTAAGTTTAAATGACGAGATCATGATTGATGGAGTGTGAGTGAGGGATGCGCAATGGCCGAGCTGGTTTAGAGTTTGCGGGCATTGTGTTAACAGGGCCGGCGCCACTGGTACGGCTGGTGTGGCCATGGTCGTACCAGGGTTTTACCTATTCCAGCTTACCCAGATTGTCATTGCGTAATCAAATCATATGGAAAGTACTCATAGACTATCCTCGCTAGAGTTTCTGCCCGCTCCTGAACTGTTCTCAGTGTCCAGTGTCCAGTGTCCTGTGTCCAGTGTCCAGTGTCCAGTGTCCAGTGTCCAGTGTCCAGTGTCCAGTGTCCAGTGTCCTGTGTCCAGTGTCCAGTGTCCTGTGTCCTGTGTCCAGTGTCCTGTGTCCAGTGTCCAGTGTCCAGTGTCCTGTGTCCAGTGTCCAGTGTCCAGTGTCCAGTGTCCAGTGTCCAGTGTCCTGTGTCCAGTGTCCAGTGTCCTGTGTCCTGTGTCCAGTGTCCAGTGTCCTGTGTCCAGTGTCCAGTGTCCAGTGTCCAGTGTCCTGTGTCCAGTGTCCTGTGTCCAGTGTCCAGTGTCCAGTGTCCTGTTGGGACTACTGTGCTTACTGTATTCAAGGGCGGTATGTGTTAGTGGGAAGAATCAGGTGTGATCTAGTATAGAGCTAGAGTCGCATCCCCATGACTGGACTGAAGTCGGGCATGGGGAAATGATTGACCCTGCAGTTAACCTGGGTCCATACCAACTCTTAGGAGCTGGCTCCGGGCCTGGATGATGCGCACTTGTGAAATGGTATTGCAGTGTACAAGAGAGAGAGAGAGAGAGAGAGAGAGAGAGAGAGAGAGAGAGAGAGAGAGAGAGAGAGAGAGAGAGAGAGAGAGAGAGAGAGAGAGAGAGAGAGAGAGAGAGAGAGAGAGAGAAGAGAGAGAGAGGGGGGGGGGGGAGAGATTGCCCTGAGCTTCTGCTGTTCTGTTCCTGTATCCCATCAGGTGCTGCTAACTGTAACAAGGAGAGCTTCTGTCTGCCCGCGGACTGTGCAAGCAAGGACGCCATCACACAAATTGCCACCGGAGATGCGCAGATCAGCTGTGGCCTTCTGAAATCGGGCAGTGGCATTCAGTTCTGCAACGAAATCACTGTTAAAATCACCTGCAGTGGTAGGTCTTGAGTGGATGGAATAATTATTGCCAGACTCTCTCTCACACACACACAGTGCACCACCAATATAGTCTTGTCTATATCCACTTCTTTGTCAGCTACACTGGACACATACACAATTTCCTATTAGTCAACCCACATTGGCATTTGCTCAAATATTTCAACAACGAAAAACTCGGGCGGCTTCTTGCATGTCATCCTTTCTGACAAACTTACTTGTGTACATAAGGAAGACAGGTGTCTAAGATTGCTATATGAGAATATTGTATGCATCAGTTACCGGTATGTGTTCATATAATGCGTATCTGTGAATGTATGCAGCAGCAATGTTCTTGTATAACCTGATGGCTGTGCTCTTCAGCATTTCCGAAATTTCCTTGGTTATTTTAAAACTTGACTTCCCAATTGTTTTTCCTGCTCAGGTGGCCTGACTGGAGCATACTCATTAGTAGGTGAGTGACGTGCTGTGCCAGATTGCTATTGCTAAAATCGCCTGCATGCTCTGTCGATTATCACTATTTGAATGTGCTGCTGGTGTCTACGGTCCGTTTCCTAAGAATGTGATTGTTTCGGAAGAAGGGAAATATAATTTCATCAGAATCAGATGATTGATTGCACGATTTATGTTTTGGTCATGGATGTGGTGTTTGGGTGCCAACTTACGGTATACAGATGTTCCAAAGGCCTGTCAGAAGCCACCGAACGCAGATGAGAATGGCTACTTCAGCGTCTTCTATCCGTCGCCGTCCACACCGAAGGGTACGTATCCGAGCGGGACAGTGGTCGAGTACTTCTGTAATGCTGGCTTCAAGAGTTCGCCCGGTGCCTTCAACATCACTTGCAACAATGGAAACTGGAACGGCAGTGCACCTGCTTGCACTGGTAAGTCTTGTTAGGTTGATCATGACAGATGCTGTGGAAAAAGCAAACTCATGAGAAGTAAAATCTGCAAAGAACTGTGAAGAAGTGTTGTTCTGAGTTCAAAGTATGTGGTGTTTAAGTCTCAGACCAGAGGATATTATTGAGAATCGTTATGCTTTGGAATCCATTACATTACATTAATCAAGGGCGTCAGAAGCGGTACGCCTGGTATGGCTCGAGCCGTACCACTTTTGGCTCCAGGTGGTCCACGCGGAACGACCAAATCCGGTGTAAAAAATGGGGATATCGAGTTTGTACATGACCACGCGTGATCGTGAGCCGCGATCCGTCACCGGTGCACCAGTCAGGTCACTGCACCGTGTAACGCGTGACTAGACTGTCGACTACGGAACTGCATGGCATGTGCGTCATGACTCGTAAATCTAGTCGGTCTCTTTGTTATCCTTAATGACTTCGTACCTTTGGAGACCCTCTGAGAGGGGTATTTTGAGTGTTTTTTGAAAAATTTCACGGGGAAAGTTGCCCCCGGACCCCCTCTCACTGTCGAGCCGTAGCACTTTCTATCTCCTTCCGACGCTCCTGCATGAACGGTAACCATGGTCCCTGAAGTGGCTTTTTGTTGTTGTTTTTCTCATTCAGTTCTCGTTCTCTTCCCTCTCCTTTACACCATGCATGAATGTTATTTATCTCAAAGTGTTCCAGTACTGAGTGCATGACTATGACTGGGGGGGGGGGAGGATTATCAGGTCAGTGTCTGACCCCAGTGCCTGTAGCCTCAAGCCTCATGAACCGGTCTAGCAAGATTTAGCAAGATTTAGCAAGATTTAGCAAGATTTAGCAAGATTTGGCAAGACCTAGCAAGATCGAGCAAGGTCTAGCAAGATCTAGCAATATTCATGTACACGTTTCTGCTCGTGCTTTTTTCAGCGGTTGATTGTGGCAAGCCAACGTTAGATACGAAGACCGCCGCAAAGGTATCCTACACCGGCAAGACTACGTTCAGCAACAAGGTGATGTTCACGTGTCCACAGGGATACAATGCGTTTCCCACCAGCTCCTCGTGCCAAGCCAACGGAACATGGGACTACCATGTGCTTCCCTACTGTATCTGTAAGTGCAGATCTGATGTAGGTCGTGATTATGAGTCAGTTGCATATACGCTGTGTGCTGCTGCTGTATCTGCCAAACGGTATTTTAAATTTTGTGTAAAGAGGAGTCATCTGGCTTCAGATTGTGCTCACTATCCATAGGAGCAGGGTTAGTTTATGCACTTGCACCCACGCACACACACGCACACACGCACGTGCAAACAAATATGCGTACACGAAACTCACATACGTACACACACACACACACACACACACACACGCACGCACGCATGCACACACGCACACACATGCCCACACACACCATGCCCTAAATCAAATTCACGAATGCTGTATATCCACCTGTCTGTGCTTCTCCTCAGCTGTAAAATGCCCGCCATTCGAAGACAACAAGTTGATCCCATTCGGGTCGATAAAGTTCAACGTCAAAGGAAAGGATCCACGATTCACTGGTGATGACTTGTACAGTATATTCGGAGCTCAAGTGAAGTACACCTGTGATAAAGGAGCCGCGGTCACTGGGACTGCTGTGCGCACCTGTGGCAGTGACAGATCCTGGTCAGGTGACCCATACTGTGAAGGTAGGTAGACTGCTACAGTGATTGGCACAGTGAAATCCAGCCTCGTGAGTACAGCAGGCACAGCGCCAGCACGCTACCAACACTGAGCTGTCAGTGCATGTGCCTCTGCTGTATTCATGGGGTTGGATTTCATAATTTTCATTTGCTGCCACTGTACTACTCCAAGTTCAGGATGTTCCTGTGCTGTTTTGATTGCATGCATGCTGCAAACCTCTGTCTCCATTATTAATTTCAAGCAAATGGAATTTGACTACCAGGCTCTCCGCCCCCATCCCTCAGCATCGACCGTGCAAGTTTCAATTGCTCTTGTGGTTGTGTTTCGCCATGTTTCTCAACGCACCCTGTATGTCATAGGTTCAGAAGCAGACATGCTCTGGACAGTAATTGTATTGTTTTTGCTGCTGCTTTGAACAGTGCCGATCTCCAATTGTACTACTGAATCATGTGCCAAATCTGCGGACTCGGAGACGTCTTGCTGTGCGTTGGATTCGCAGACCATCGGATGCTGCTCTGAGGCGTAAGCATGTCTTAGGAACGTGTGCCGTGCGTGCGTGCGTGCGCGCGTGCGTGCGTGTGTGTGTGTGTGTGTGTGTGTGTGTGTGTGTGTGTGTGTGTGTGTGTGTGTGTGTGTGTGTGCAAGTGTGTGTGCAAGTGTGTAATTCGCTTGTTATGTATGTATGACGCATGTGGTACAAATGTACTAGTAAGCGGGATTGTGTTCACCAGTGTTGGAGCGAGGGCCATGTGCGTAATCACCAGAGTCACCATGTTTTCTGGAGTATAAGCTGTACGTTTAACACTTGGCATTCACCCCAGAAAAGGTCAGTGCGGATTGGGCTACGATGGTCAAATGAATGGAATACAGGGTAGATATCTGTATTTTGTTGCAAATATCTGGGTGCAGCTTATATTTAGTACTCCAGTGCCCTTATACTGCGGAGAATCTGGTACCTTTGGGAAAGGTAAGTGTTAAAATATTGTCACTAGAGTAAAACCTGTAACTAACGACCACCCCTTGGGGCCAGAGAAAGCGGTCTTTAGTGGCAGGTGGTCCTTAGTTAGAGGTTTGCACCGCACAACCATAATGTGACCATCTGCACCTGGCGAAGTGGTCTGCAGTGCCAGGCTGGTCGCTAGTCACGGGGGTCTTTAGTTACAGATTTTTCTGTATTTGGCAACAAACTTACATACAAGCAGTGCACGGATTTATAGCCATGTGGTTGTGAATGAATCTTTCTGCCATCAAATCATTGTTGTGCACATGTATGTGCATGATGGTTGTATGTGTGTGTGTATGATTGTAGGGTGGTTATGGTGTGCGTGTGTTACCTTATACTCTAACGATGGCCTGTGTTGTTGTTGTTGTTGTTGTTGTTGTTGTTGTTGTTGTTGTTGTTGTTGTTGTTGTTGTTGTTGTTGTTGTTGTTGTTGTTGTTGTTGTTGTTGCTGCTCTTGCTGCTGTTGCTGTTGTGGTTGTCGTGTTGTTGTTGTTGTCGTCGTTGTTGTCGTCATCGTTGTTCTTGTTCTTTCTTTTAGGGCCATGGTGACCCTTGGGTCACGCTTCGATGGGCTAAAAGGACAGTGTGCAATGGACATTGAAACAGAGCTGCTGCCATGTGGCGGTCGCCTCATCCAGTGCCTTGACTTCCCAGGCAAACAGAAGAATGAGCTAAACTGCAATCCCACTCCGACATTCGGTTGCTACAAGAATCAGGTGTGTGATCATAAGGGTAGAGTTGCTTTTGTGCAACAATTTTAATTGTTTTTCAACCAGTTGATGATTCTGAGCCGCCCATCTCCTACTGCTTTTAACGGGTTGATCTGATGCCATGATGCTAAGACTGGTAGCGCTGCTACTGATGCGGACACGTCAGCCTGATTGACACGGGCGACTTACTGTCCCTAACAAAATTGTGCATGGAATATAATTTTAGAGTAAGAAGAAAAGATAACACAAGTTACGTATGCACTAGAGTCTAGGACCCACTGTCGTGGACATGGAAATCCGGTCGCACGTCTAGCGGCCCCAGGGCGCTGGCCATGCATCCTTGGGTAATTTAGCGACACACATGCGCATAATACGCGCTGCAGCACCCTGGTCGCATCGGATCAACATGTGCACTGCATGCAACATTATGTATGCGCTGAGGGCGCCGGCCCCGGTCATTCGACTGGATTTCCATGTCCACGACAGTACATCAGATCAGATGTGCGCAATTCAGCACAAAAACAACTGGGATTACTGAGGAAATCCATGGCATGTTGGTGAGCTTGAGCATTGCTGATAGTGAGCGATAACTAACGGCCTTCCAAACAGGAACGTTTCTGGTTTTGAGTTTATGAACCCTGTAAAAATCATCAATTCGTAAGTTGAAATTTTGCGATCCGTTTTTCCTCTGCTGTACTTCATGTGGTGCAGATCCTGCCCAGCGCACTTGGAGATAAACTGGATAGCAACTGCCAGGCCTATTCTGAGACACAGGGCACCATTTCCTGCTTGGCTGAGACCACTGTCACCCTGACTGGTAGGTCGGAGAGGGCATTTCCCAATGTTTTCATAGTGAAGAAACACAGCTGGGAATTCTCGAGTTCCCACCCCCAGTCTCTTTTGACATGAAGATTTTTAATCCATGCTAACACCATCATGCAAGGTTTTTTTTGGGGGGGGGGGGGGGGGAGGAAGTAGATGATGAGAGAAAGCCAAATATGATGATGTTTTATCCAACAATCAGTTTTTAAAGACGAACAAAATGGACTTGATTTTGAAGTTCCTACCCCACGCAGCATCATTCAATGTACACAAGATTCATTTTTCAAAATAGGAAGACTACAACGTAGCAATCCCTTCTATCCATACCTCCTCACAGCACTAATCGAAGAAGTGTAGCTCAGAGACCGATAAGAGTGGTGTCAGGTGGGCTACTCAAGATTTAATTTGTAGATCGAAGGAAAGACAAAGGCTTGGTGCCATGTTGTCACACTAGCTGACTGACTGTATATGATCTGATTACATTGTTGGACAGTTAGTCATGACTCGCAACATTTTTGTTGTTCCTTTTATCCATGATTACATTGGCTCAACATCCGAGTTAAATATAATTTTTTGTGTTGTTTTTCTTTTGCTCGCAGGCACCCTGTTCCCTCAAGGCTTCTGTTTGCCGAAATCCTGCAACCAGCAGGCTATGCTTGACAAGGTTGCATCATCGACGATCGACTTGGACTGCAACAATGACCTACTAGTGGCCAATGGCGGCTTCTGCCAGGCTTCGGGCATCAAGATCACCTGCGAAAGTAGGAATATTCTTTAGGTTGAAATTGGCTTTTAGGAGTGTAACCGTGCACAGTTCATGACCTTTTATGCAGGCCTGGGATCACAGTGTGGACGGCTGACGGAATCAAACGGCAGGAAGATGATGCATAGCTCCTCTGGCTTTCCATAGTCTATAGCAGAGACTACCAAAGAATGTCTCTATCTTTCTTTTCTTGAGCCAAACCCAGCTGTACATTTGGGTGAGGGATAGTGGAAAGGAAAGGTGTGAAAGAATGATCGACTTAGCTCATTAATTAGGGCTCAAACGGTTAGTCCGATTAACCGGTTGCAGACCGGTTACGAAGAATTAACGGTTAACCGATAAAGATAATGGTTACGCAGTAACTTTTCAGTCAATTTGTGAAGTATCAGGTCGTTGCAAAGTATGCACTTTCGCAGGCTGTCGCACGCGTAGGCAATTTCTGGGCTGTCAACTCGGTCATATCTGGTCTCTTGGTGTGAGAGTATGTATGAATGAGCATGCAAGAGAATGTACATGTGTGCGTTGTTCTGAATAGGGTACATTTTTTGAATGAGTATAGTCAAATATACGGTTAAAAAAGAGTCCGCAGGATTGCCGTGGCTTATAGGTTATAACCGTTAAGCCGACCGTTAGCTTAGCACTTAACCGTTGGGGGTAAAACCGTGACCGTTTGAGCCCTATCATTAATGCACTGGCGTTTGTACTTCATTCTACCGTGACCGTTTTCCTCATCTTGTTGAAATTCATTTGCCTCAAACCTGATGAATCACGCCTGGAGAGCTGTTCGAATACCACAATAAGGTACGCTTTCCAACGGCCAAAGAGAGTTGGAAAGCTTGTGTCTTTGTGGGTAACCTGAACATTTGGGCTCATGCAAAATCGCACCGATTTTGGGATTTCCCCACAACTTTTTGCGTCCGCAAAAATGTTGTGCTGGACCGCATTCCTGTCACTTCGCAGTGGCTTTTCGTTGGTGCAGTTTGTATCCCACCCTCCCACCCCTGACTTCTGGGTGTGTGTTTATCGATAATATTATCGTATTGGTTTCTCGTATTGGCCATGTGGCTGTTGCAGTTACGACTGCTTTTCTTTTTTAGTTAAAAAACGTAGGGGTGGTGTGTGCGTCGTGGGCCATTGTATGGTTACATACAGCTTCAGATTGTATGGCTAGTGACAGGGGGGTTGAGTCTGCAGGGGAAGAATACAGTGATTGAACTGAAGCTGGATGATGACCGTGTGGTGAGTGTGTGGGGGGGGGGGGGGGGGGGGGTTCGAGATGCCGTCCTGGGGCAGGGATGTCGGTCCTTTAGCTTGGACGGGTGTTGTTACATTCATTGTAACATTTTGTCGTTTTCTGTGTGTTTTGCTGTGCGACTAAGTAGCAGCAGTGTCTTGTGCTAATTTTTCTTATCATATCAGGCCCTATGCGTACAATTATTCAAAAAAAAGAAAAAAGAAAAAAAAAATATATATATATATAGTTACTCAATCTGCGGACAGCATGCTGTTTCGTTCTTTTTGAACTCATCAGCGCAGCACAGAGAAAATGAGGCCGAACCTGATAGCAATGGAAATAAAAATTTCCAATCAGGCCCGAACGTACCTTGCCAGAGTGCTCAAACTGACAAGTCAGTGAGCTCTGCATAATGCAAACAGCATATATATAATTATATATATCAGGAAGGAGATTATAATAATATCAATAATAAAGCCATTGCCGAGCCACCGTGCTCACAGCAGAGACTTCTGTGTGTGTTATTGTTGTGAAGTGGACCACAAAGACTCATCCGGAGTGTTTTTCAAGGCCTGTCAAGTGACTTGATACCCGTGTGTACGTGTGATTTCTCCATTCCTGCAGATAACCTCACCTCCAGCTACACACCGCCCTACCCTGGTAAGCTGGAGCGACGTTAATAGGCGTGCTTGAAACGCACATTGCATGCATGCAGTGCACATCGTATAGGTATGCAAATACTGGCCCCCATATGCATGCATACACACATGTGTACAGTTCAAACATATCTCGGAATAAGCCCATTGCGCATTGCCAAATATGGAAGGTATGAGTAATGCATGTGAGTACGCTGGGATCAGAGATGCACTGTTCAACACCCCAGACAACCATGCCCAGGTGGCTGTGTGGGGTGTTCGTGGTACAAATTACGTCATTGCGCAACGGGCTTATCGTATTTGATGAGTGCCGATCCCCTCCAAACTTTGAGAGCTAAGCTTTTTCCTCCATACTGTATTGCTGCTGAATAGTTCCTATGTTATCTGTCTGCAGCTCAATGTTCAAAGGGCAAGTGTCCTGTGTCTAAGACCAGTTATCCAAAATGGACCGAGTGTTGCTCGATGGACGGCAAGGAGATTGGCTGCTGCTCTCCACTGTAAGTTTCTCATCTAATCTCGTGATACTCAGCTGATTTAGAGAGCCGGGATGACATGGTGAGCACGCACGTGATGCACTGTACATGTATGTAGCCATACGACTGCAATAACACACTGATACATACCAGCCTTTCCCAACTCGCAACACCGCACAAGAGAGAGAGAGGGGGAGGAGGGGCATTCCTGCACTGCTTAAAGGGGAAGTTAAGGCAAAAATTATAATTTCACCAGTTGTAGTCTTCGGGGTGCTGAGTCGAATGGTCTTGGTCCGAGGAAGCTGAGACGCTCCCTTCCTACTTGAATCCCAATCGAACTCGCGCACTTCCACCGAAACTGGGTGACTGCGCCCTACTAGATGGGGATTTGTATACAAAATGTCACTAAAAGCGCCATTTCGTTCTTATAAAAGCACGGATGACCGCGATTGGCCCATATGTTGTAGTCTTTTGGACGCTGAGTCGACTGGTTTTGGTCCGAAAAGGCTGCGATGCGGCGTTCCTCCTTTATTCCCAATCGAACATGGTTGAAGAAGCGGTCACGTGCTCCTGCGTACACCAGTCAGCTGGTCACCGTGCCTGCAGGGTACAACTTACTAGCCTGTTTGACCTTTTTTGGGTGCAGTCCTGTCACTCGAGTTGAACTCGAGTTGAACCTTGGTGTGAAAGTTGTCACCTGCTGGCGTGGTGACCAGGTGATTTGGGCACCCAGGAGCACGTGACCACTTGTTCAACCATGTTCGATTGGGAATAAAGGAGGAACGCTGCATCGCAGCCTTTTCGGACCAAAACCAATCGACTCAGCGTCCAAAAGACTACAACATATGGGCCAATCGCGGTCATCTGTGCTTTTATAAGAACGAAATGGCGCTTTTAGTGACATTTTGCATACAAATCCCCATCTAGTAGGGCGCAGTCACCCAGTTTCGGTGGAAGTGCGCGAGTTCGATTGGGATTCAAGTAGGAAGGGAGCGTCTCAGCTTCCTCGGACCAAGACCATTCGACTCAGCACCCCGAAGACTACAACTGGTGAAATTTTAATTCCCGTAGCTATGCAGAAGACGTTACTTCAGTAACGTCTGGCGCTAGCCAGGGTCCACACAGCTTTAATTTGGTGTTTGTTTGTGTGTTTGTTTGTGTCACGCCTGGCGCTATCCGTATCTGACGGCAAAAAAGCATAGGATGTTATAAATTTTTCAATTCTCCTTTTTTTTTCAGGCATATCCTGGGATTCGAACCCGCACTATCGCCCTACATGCATTCCCCCATACACTTCGCATTCATACCCATTCTTCCAAGTTGCTTTACGTTATTATCTTGCGTTTGAAAGCCCTATTTGAATATTGCGGGCAGCTGTATGTGGCCAGCTGTGTTTGATGGTACGGTACGGGAGACGGTGTCGTATTACCCTCGATCGTACCTGTCCGGTCCCTATCCCCTACCGTGCCATCAAAGACGGCTGGCCACAATGCATATTCAAATAGGGCTTTCAAATGCAAGATCACAATGTGAAACAACTTGGAAGAATTAGTATATATGCGAAGTGTATCGGGGGATGCATGCAGGGCGCGCGATAGTGCGGGTTCGAATCCCAGGTTATGTCTTAAAAAAAGGAATTTTTTAAAGAATTTATAACATCCCTATGCTTTTTTTTGTCTAGGTCATCAAGGCAAAAAAGCATAGCGTAGGGCCCTGAGCTTCCAAGCTCTCTCGTTTTTGCCTTAACTTCCCCTTTAAAGCGAGATTCACAGGAGCAATTCAATGTATTTCAGCATCTGGTACTGGTTTTACTACCGGCACAAACGAATACAGAAATTCTAAACAATGCTTGGCACAACTTTGATGTACACGCAGCTGGTCTCAGGCACCACTTACCAACTTTACCTGCGCTGCTTTTTTCATCAATGCAGGGCCCAGCAGATCCTGAGCGACCGCTTCAGCTCTTTCTCCAAGAGTCCGAAGTGCAGCACAGCCCTGGCCAAGCAGCTGTCTCCCTGTCTGTCTCAGCTCACACAGTGTTTGAGCAATGTGACCGGTAAGTGTCCGCACGATGGAAAAGCGAAGAAGCTTTTAAAGCTCGCAATGTATCTCAGCCGCAAAGTCTGTGCTGCAAGTATAGATATTTATAGGGAATGTCTACATTGAACGTACTGATTCTGTTGTCTATTTATGGCTCAGAATGCTATGCTACTTGTGCGACTCATAATCGCCACCAAATTGGTAATGGAAGCAAAAAATCATGATGAAGATTATAGTACCATATCTTGCTTTGTGTGAGGATAAGAAATAGCGGAATCAGATTGAAATCTCTTCCATGTTCTTTTATGGTGGTACCAGCACAAATGCTTTTCAAGCAGAATATGTGACTTTTGCAGCAATCTCAGGGGCGCGGGTTCGAGCCCCAAGTTGGGCGCCAATTGTAGTCGGCGTTTTTACATCCGACGATATGCCCTTCCGATTACTCTCACTCATGCACGCCTGCACCATAACAGAGGACCGAATGTTCGTTCTGGCATCATGGAGAGTCTCAGGAAGAGGCAGCGAAGAAGAAACAAGAATGTGTACAATATGCGCCAGCTAGCTGTGGTGCAACCTGCACAGTCTGTGCGTGGTCCGCACACAGTCTGCGTGGACACAGCGCCACACAGAATAAATACACCAAAAAGGGGTCCTACCTCGTAGAGGTCAGGGATGGGACTTCCACGAGGTCACGGACAACACATGTGTTTAAAATGTGATTAATGATGGTTTTTTGCACAGTGGAAAAAATAAATTTGGTACCAATGTGCAGGCTCTGCACTCAAAAGGTTGCTTTCAGAGCCAGCATTATTGCCTTCTCTCATGATTTTTTATGCTGTGGTTGTAGTTGTTTTCAGCCCTGCCCACCCCTGGCCATACCAGCCAATAGCAATAGCCTCTTCTGCGTTTCCATATCTGGTTTTCCTTTTTTCTCTGGCCGTTCTCTCTACAGCGGTGGGCGAAGAGAAAGTGTGCCCCGACCTGCACGGCTGCAGTGCACCCTTCCAAACCAACGACACCTGTGAGAAGTTTGCCGGCAAAGGGTCTTTGTTCTGCACACGCTCTTGTCCAGGTAAATACCTAATGTATGCTGCAATTCTACTGGGAGGCTGATGATGCTATAGTATATACTGTAAAACTAGAAATTTTCGGTAGTGTAATATTTTCGGTATTCTCCACCGGTTCGGTGGAGGGAAATTTCCGGTAAACCTTTTTTCCAGGTAAGTGTACTGGTAATAGTACCGGAAAGTTCGGTGTGTTTCATGTTCGGTTAAAACTTCGGCACCGAAGTCACCGAAAATAAAACACCACCGAAAATTTCTGCTTTTACAGTACTTCAATGATAGTTACTTGTTTTATTTGAGTATTGATTGCCATAATACAAACCCTGGTATTACCACCACCATGCTCTACCCAATCGTATTTGATTCTGTCTTCTGAATGCCGCCAAGCGAGTTCTAGTGCAGACAATGGAACACTGTAAAAGTAGAAATGAAACATTCCGCTGGGGGTCAACTTTCGCTAAAAAACCAACGTTAGGGAGCACTGCAGTCAATCACGGTCATTGCTCTGCACGAGTGTAAATCCATCATGGTTTTTGCTGTGCACAAGTCTTAGCCCATCACGGTCATTGGTGTACAGTCAACTTCGCGTGTAACGACATTCAGCGGGGCATCAGGAAAGTGCCCTTATTCGCGTAGTGTCGCTATACCCGAAGTCTCATTATAAGTATTACAGTTGGATGGGACTTTGCTCTGGGCATGGAAATTCTGTCGTTATTCGCGAATTGTCGTTATATCCGCAGTTGTTATTAGCGAAGTTGACTGTACACGTTTGTTACATGCATGCCGCACACTGGGATTTCACTTTTTTCTTCTTTCACCATCACATAGGCCAGCCCAACTGCGACCAGACCAGTTTCTGCGTGCCCAAGGACTGCACAACGGCGGATGCGCTCAGTGCCATGGCGTACAGCGATGCCGTGATCAGCTGTAACCTCTGGAAGACGGGCGGCGTGGAGTACTGCAGATGGGTCAACGTCACCATTACCTGCGAAGGTCAGTCCATTTCAATGAGGTGGTCAGATGCGCCAAAAAGTATTGTGTGCGTACCTGAGTTCATATGTGTGCAGTGAGTTTGCACACCCCCACTTGCTGCTGCTGCCGAACCAATGTAGAAGTTCTCGCACAGGTCCAATTTGTTTAGAGCGACAACGGTTTAGGTTAACTCAGCACTGGGGTTCTACTTTGAAGTAGTAAGGATACCCTGTTCACTCAATAATTTAGAGACAGAAGATCAGATTTTTCAGGAGAGGTCAGCAAGAGTTTGTCAGTTGTCTTCACCTGTTTGTATGTATCGGTATATTCTTGCTTTTTGTGGACTCAGAAGTCTTTTTGGTTCTTTGCCTGTTTGTTCTTAAAACAGATGGCACTTCCGGTGCTGGATCATACGATGGTAAGTTTCTAATCCAAATGTATGTGTATGTGTGTGTGTGTGTGTGTGTGTGTGTGTGTGTGTGTGTGTGTGTGTGTGTGTGTGTGTGTGTGTTTGTGTGCACATGTGTGTATGTGTGCCGATATGTGTGTGCACGTGTTTCTGTTTGCATAAGTGTACGTTGCTCACTTGGATAGCATAGTTTTGTCTTTCTAAAGGAGGGTTTTACTGTTTGCGAAGAATGCAATGCATCCATTCACTTGTCAGGTGGAGTGTGCTGCGTTTGCTAGCAATGTGTCACAAGCCCTGATACAAGATCGTTTGCTGACTCTTTCTGTCGTTTGTAGATCGAGCCAAGTTCTGCAAGCCACCCATCGTGCCTAGCCATGGCAACATCACAGTCACCAGACCACCGGGGGCTAACAAGAACTACACATACCCTGTTGGTGCGTCCGTCACGTACGCCTGCGACCATGGTTACGGACCAGACGGCAACTCTCCCATTATCCATTGCCAGGACGACGGCACCTGGGACTTCAAGGGATCCAACTGCAACCGTGAGTAGTATTTGTGCAGGAGTAAGGGAGAGGGAGAGAGAGATAGAAAGACATCAAGACAGAAGGAGAGAGAGAGGGGGGGGGGTCCACCCAATGCTATGCTAGACTTGTCTGTGAATAATGACAAACATGTTAGGTTAGAGAATATTGTCAGGCTGACTCGCCAGCTGTGGTGGTTGGGGTGGAATGACACTTCATCCACGACGGCAGCTGTTGCTCTTTTAAACTGTGATTGTATTCGCCATCATGATATGTTTGTGCTGCTGCAGCGGTGGACTGTAAGAAACCAATGGTGGACCCTTCGTCTGGTGTTGTCATCGACGGCAAGAGCTACACGTTTGGCGACGTCGTGCACTTCAAGTGCTCCGAGGAGGGCTTCTACGCCACACCGGCATCCTCTGTGTGCCAAGCAGACACCACATGGGATTACGATACTCTGCCCTACTGTCAAGGTATGAAGGAGACATGTGTGCAACCAGACCTCGTTGAACCACGTGCATATGTTTCACCAGGGAAAAACCCTGACAAGCAAGAAAACCACAGGCAGTAAAACGTGTGAAAGTGACCTCTCTGATAGGGTGACCACCCTGTCCTAGAGAGCAAGTGCAGCTAGGACCAAGGGATGCTATTTCCAGGCAAAGAATCCAGAGTAAAAGACCTGGACACTGGGGGCAAATTGATAACATCGGAAAAATGCCATGCTGGCCGCTATGATGTTGATTGTAAATTTGTTGTTTCTGACTTTCTGCCAGTTTGCGAGGCACGCAGGAAAACGTATGGTGCAACTCGTAATCTTTTTTATCATTCCTCAAATCAAACTCTAGTTTCACGTGAACGACAGTAGGCGTACAGCTTGAATATCAAAAGTAGCAACATAGTCAATATTTCTTGCACACTAAATGTTGGACACTTCTGTCTATGCGCTTCTAAGTCTATGCACTTCTAGATCGGTGCATTCATGCATATGCACATTCAGGTATGTATGCGCTTGTGCGTGTGCAAACGCATGTGAATTGATATTTGCTGTCTTTGCATCAGATGTATCCCTTGCCATAACTGGTTTCTTCGGTGTGTGTGTGTGTGTGTGTGTGTGTGTGTGTGTGTGTATGTGCCTGCGTACGTGTGTGCACTCACGTACGTGTATGCATGTGTGTATGCAATTCATTAACACACGTGTGTGTATGCATGTACGTGTATGAATATGTGCATCAGCTGCCAATTGCCCGGACCTGTGGTCTCTGTACGGAGAGAACAATGAGAACAAGGTGCCCTATGGCACGGTGATGCTGGAGAGGACCGGTGTGAATGACTCTGCACAGATTGGTCAATCCGATCACCTCTATGGTGCCAAGTTGAAGTGAGCTTTGCCTTCTCATATCGCTCATGCAATACAGTCAACTTTGCTAATAACGACTGCGGATATAATGACACTTCGCAAATAACGAAAGGATTTCCATGCCCAGAGCAAAGTCCCATCTACCTTGTAATACGCGACCGAGTGACAAGGCAAAACTGGTTCAGTCTCTCCGGCAAAACACAGGTAGTATTCTCAGGGAACAATATTGCACACACGGAACGACAAACGTAGGTGACACAGAATTACTTATAGTATATTGAAAGACTCAATAAGTGAAGGGAAGACGACAGAAACAACGGAGGCAAAGACTCTGCAACAACTGAGCTGGGCAACTGACACACGGATCTATATATATGGTACGAGATTGCCAGTTACAGCTCCGAGCGCTAGCTAGCGAATGAAAGCAAGGGATCTGATGGTGTCAGCAATGCATAGTGCAATACATAGTAATACATAGTGATTTGTGTAGGGGGAAGTCCGTCTACTACGCTACATAGTAATACATAGTGATTTGTGTAGGGGGAAGTCCGTCTACTACACTGCTCCCCCCTCAAATAATTTTCCGTCCTCGGAAAACAAACAAGAACATAATACAGAATTAACGTAGACCTAAACGAGGCTCAAGCAGCAAAAGACATCAGCAAGAAAAAGAAAATCATACACAAGCACACAATGGAAACAGAGTGGAGCAGAAAGGCAAGGCAAGTGCGAGTTTGGAACTCATTGTGGGAACACATAGTTGTTCCTGTAACGAACAGGAAGACCGGCGTTGCGGTGCAGATGGGCACGCGGACCAGGTGCTGGTGGTGCTGGCTGCAGCAAAACCGGCGGCGGAGGAGGAACAGGTTGGGGTGGGGCATCATCAGCATCAGGCCAGGAGAATAGCAGAACAGGCGGCGGACATGGAGAAGTAGGAGCCAGTGGCGCTTCAGACAGCGGGACATCTGGGCCGGACTGAGAGACTGACGACTTGGCGTTTGAGCGGGCGTGTAGCTTGAGGCGGTTGAAATGTACACGCTTACTGGTGCTGGAGGGTTCGTTGATCAATTGAATGTCGTATGACGTTGGCGGCGACACATGGACAATCCGGTATGGTCCGGTCCACGGTGGCTGGAGTTTGCGACGCATTCCAGGTTCAAGGAGCCACACACTATCACCGACTTGGAATGCAGTGCCACGTTGACGAAGGTCGTAGTGGTCCTTCTGGCTGTGGTGCGCAGCATTATCATTACGACGGGCAGTATCGAAGCTATGGTGGAGGGACTTGGACAGTTGTGTTACATATTCGGCGGGCGACACAAACTCTGTCGGGGGTGACCCATAGACAAGGTCGATAGGCAGACGGAGTTGGCGACCAAACATAAGCTGAGCTGGGGTGAATTGGGTAGAAGAATGCTTGGCTGTACGGTATGCAAGCAGGACGGTTGAAACATACTGATCCCAGAAGGTGGGCAGATCCGCTACATACACTCGCAACGTTGAAACTATGGTGCGGTTGAGGCGTTCCACGAGCCCATCGCCCTGGGGATGATACGCGGTGGTCCGAGTCTTTCGGATATTCATGAGGCGACACAGTTCACTGAAGAGTTCAGACTCAAATTGTGTGCCCTGATCGGTGTGGAGTTGTTCTGGGGCACCAAACCGACAGATCCAGTTCCGAAAGAACACATCCGCAACGGCAGCAGCAGTCATAGTGGGTAGAGGGTACGCTTCAGGCCAACGTGAGAAGTAGTCACTACATACCAGTAGGTAACGGTTGCCATGGCGACTGGTAGGCAGTGGTCCAACGAGATCCATGGCTACGAGCTCGTTAGGGAAGCCAGCTCGCATGGACTGCAATGGTGCTCGGCCAGTCGTAGCGCTCTTACGGGACATGCACTCTTGGCAATTAGCTACAAATGTGCGCAAATCAGCTGACATACCTGGCCAGAAGAAACGGCATTTGGCCTTGTCAATGGTCTTTGTAGCACCGAGATGACCACCACTAACATCGGCGTGCACTGCAGCTAAGATATCAGCTTGGAAAGAGAACGGAACAGCTAATTGCAAAACAGAATCAGCCGATGGGTCTGTGCGATACAAAACACCATCACGTAGGGAAAGCAAATGAATTTCAGAAGCATAGCGGCGAACAGCACGGCTAGAGGCAGTTAATGTGTGTGCAGGGGGAGAATTAAACACATCATGACTAGAATCATGCCAGCCTAACACAATGGACACATCAGGATCCTCTTTTTGCGCAGCAAGCAGCTCAGCAGCAGTAAAGCGCGGCAGCCAGGAGTCAGGTGCAGGTTTCGGTACAGTGGGTCCAGGATCACAAGCAGGAGCAGGAGCTGCTGGTGCGGCTGGTGACGACTGGTCAGGCGGTGACTGACGGGTAGTGGCGGCAACAGACTCAGGAGGACGGCGAGACAGAGCATCGGCATTGCAATGTTGACGGCCAGGGCGATGAATAACCGTGAACTCGAGTTCAGCAAGTTGTTCTAACCAACGGGCACGACGACCGCGTGGTTCCTTGAGCGAATGGAGCCATTTGAGAGCAGCATGATCAGTGCGCACAACAAATGCTCGACCAACGAGGTAGTAGCGGAACACATCAGCGAAGTGAACAAATGCAAGGAGTTCCTTCTCCGTAGTGGAGTAGTTACGTTGGGCGGTGTTGAGAATAGCACTACCGTAGGAAATCACACACTCATGGCCATCTTGTACCTGAGAGAGCACACCGCCCATACCAAAATCACTGGCATCAACATCAAGGATGAAGGGAGCGGCGGCAGACGTGTAGTCAGGCTGAGCAAGCACAGGCGCAGATGAGAGGCGTTTTTTTAGTACACAGAAAGCAGCCTGACAAGCAGGACCCCAGGAAAACTTCGCATTTTTCTTAGTGAGTGCGGCCAGTGGGGCGGCAGCTTGCGCGAAGTGCGGAACAAATTTCCGGTAATACCCAGCGAGGCCGAGAAAACCACGCACTTCACGAACGGATGTCGGCGTACGCCAGTGAACAATATCGTGAACCTTCGAAGCTGAGGTGTGAAGGCCATCGGCACTGATGTCCACACCAAGGAACTTAGTGCGGGGCTGCAGGAAAGCGCATTTCTCAAGCCGAAGCTTGAGATTGTACCGACGAAGACACGTGAAAACGGACCGGAGGCCATCCAAGCCAAGACTAACAGTGGCTGACCCAAGGCCAATGTCATCAAAAAACACACGGCAGACGGGATCAGGACTGGTAAGGAGATGATTTAGGATCGTTTGCATCAAGCGCTGAAATGTGGCAGGCCCATTGCAGCAACCCATAGGAAGAACCGTGAACTCGTACAACCCAAGGGGCGTCACGAAGGCTGTTTTAGCTTGGTCTTGAGGGTGGATTGCGATTTGCCAGTAGCCACTAGCAAGGTCAAGTGTCGAGAATACCTTAGAGCCAGAGAACGCGTCTAGGGTATCGTCGACCCGAGGAAGAGGATAAGCATCAGCTGTGGTGATCTTGTTGAGCCGGCGATAGTCAACACAGAGACGCAGAGAGCCATCTTTCTTAGGCACGAGGACAACAGGCGAAGCCCACGGGCTCGCAGAGGGAGTAATGACACCTTTCTGCAGAAGGTCATTGATAATATTCTGGAGCTGCTCACGATGACGGAATGGAACACGGTAAGGTTGTTGTTTAATAGGCGAATGATCACCTGTGTCTATCTTATGTGGCGCAAGATCACAGTACCCATGGTCGTCGGGATGAAGAGCAAATACATCGTGGTACTGCAGGAGAAGGTCACGCAAGGTAGAACGGTCCGTTGGTGACAGGTGACAACAATTCTTTTCGATATGCGCATCAATCTTCTCTACTGGTACAGGCGGCGGCGGCATGAACGGCGAATCATCAACAGCAGCACAAGTGTCAGCACACTCAGGGACAGGTTCACATACAGCAATATGAGTATTTGCATGCAAGGTAATCTGGGTGGTACCACGGTTAACCACATTGATAACCAAGTTATCCGGGGACGTGACAGACGTTCCGACATCCAATGTCGGGTGTTTCTCTGAGAACGAATCAAGTGGCTCGATTAGATACGAAGTATCAGCAGCAGGAGAGCCAGCAGCACATACCGACGGGGCAACCGGAAGAATAACTTCATGACAGGGCGGAACTGAAACAGACTGTGTGATGCACACACGGAACGAGGAAGCAACACGAGACACCAGAGATTCAACAGCATTGGCAGCAGCAGCAGGCGGAGCAGCAGCAGCAAGCACGGAGGCAGGGACGGCAGCAGGTACGGAGGCAGCGACGGCAGCAGGAACAGTCGGAGCACTCAGGTCGGGCACGACAGTCGTAACATGGGCTGGTGTGGGCGCGGCAGCAACAGCAGCAGAAAGCGAACGCACACGTGGAAGGGGTACAAGCGGCAATTTAACATCATCCAGGACCAACTGAGCCCGGGAGAAATCAAGCAGGACATTGTGCTGCTGTAGGAAGTCAGCACCGAGGATTACATCAGACGTGATATCAGCAGCAACGATAAAATTCTGAACAGCTACGAACGAGGGTGTACAAACAGAGAGGGACACGGTACCCGTAGTGGAGAGGGGACGGCCCGTCACACCAGACACAACAGGAGCAGCAGACACAGGGACAGAGGAGGTCGTGCACAGACTACGCCACAATGCAGTAGACACAAGGGAAACACTAGACCCAGTGTCAACAAGAGCATGGCATTTCGTCTCTTGGAGACTAACCGCAACATAGACAGACGGAGAAACTGCAGAAGACGACTGAACATGCGTAACAGGACACACAGTCACAGGTGCAGACGTAGGGCAACGCACATCAACAGTACAATAACAGGGACGACATTCACAACCAGTACAAGTCGGCACAGTCGAGCTAGGAACACTAGTATCGAAGACTGGAGCTTGCCGAGCAGCACCAGTCAATAGCGGTTTCCCGACGGACGACCCCCACGCGTCGAGTGGGGACAATCACGACGTAAGTGGGACGGATCGCCACAATTGAAGCACCCGCGATCCCGCGCGCCATCGTAAAGTCCGCGGCCTGTGCCGTTGTACGGAGGCGGGTTACGATTCGAGCTGCCAGGAAATCGAGTTGGGCCCGACATGGGCGCGCTTCGAGGGAAGACGCTGTGACCACGGCCGCGTGGAGCTCGAGTGTCGTCACTATACGCCCGTGGCGACGGAGCGGAGGTTGCGGAGAAGACCTGTAGATCAGCTAGCTGGTCCGAAATTTTGCTCAACAACGATAGTACGAGCGGGTCGGTGGAGCTCGAAGTCGAACTCGGAGCTACGTGGGCCACGGTGGCACTGGACGTAGGAGTCGGATCCGCGAGTGGACCTACGGAGTGTGCCTGAGGCATAGAGGCGGTCAGGGCAGCGCAGGCTGGTGTAGGAACCGGAAGACTGCGGCGATTCTCGACCTCTAAGATCGCTGCAACTTCGTACGCCCGTCGAACGGCGGCATCGAGGGCTGCAGGGCTGGATGTCCTGATGTGCAAGCGCAGGTCACTATTGACCTGGCCGTCAATAAATTGATTGAGCGTCAGGCGATCTAACAGCGGACCCTGTTGACCTGGAAAGGCGCGTGCCGCAAGGCGCTGAAGAGCTGCGGCGAACTCGGCCTGGGACTCAGTGGATCGTTTCAGGCGAGCTCGAAACTCGGCCTCAAGGAGGCGACTTTGCTGTGGCGGTGCGAACCGTAGCCCTAATTCGGTGCACATTTCTACATACGTATACTGCGGGTGCGCCGCCAGAATGGTCTGGTAAGTTGTGAAAGCACTCTCCTTGAAACAACAAGGTAAAAACTGCAGCCTTTCCGCATCCCGGTACCCATTGACCACGCACGCCGCGTCGAACCTGGCGATGAAGCAGTGCCAATCGTCTTGGCTGGCACCCCCAAACGTCGGCGGTACAACTACCGGCCGAGCAAGTGGTGCCTGTCGAGGAGCCGGAACCTGACCCGGAGCCAGAGCTGGTGCAGCGGGAGCAGCAGCGGCAGCGGCAGCAGCAGCTTGAGGATTCTGTGCCATTTTCGGTGTCTTGTATATAAGGATAACAAACAAACAAGTAGGCCTATAGGACTTCGCAAGCAACACGGGACGCGTTTGAGGACTAAGCCTACGCTATAGCAACAGTTCAAGTACGGCGAGCAGTGCAAGAAAAACTGGCAACGAAGAGCTAGCTTACTTAGGGGACAAGACTACGAATAGATCCAACAAAGTAAGCCTAGAAAAGACTAGCACTACAAAAATGTAAATATTAAAATCGTAAATTGGCACGGAACAAAGTTACTCAGCTTGAGTTGAGACGAGAACGGCAACGGCAACGTTCACTGCACGGCGAAATAACGAGGCGTGGTCCGGAATACTGCGACTGACGAACGCAGAGCTAACACCGCTGCCACCAAATGTAATACGCGACCGAGTGACAAGGCAAAACTGGTTCAGTCTCTCCGGCAAAACACAGGTAGTATTCTCAGGGAACAATATTGCACACACGGAACGACAAACGTAGGTGACACAGAATTACTTATAGTATATTGAAAGACTCAATAAGTGAAGGGAAGACGACAGAAACAACGGAGGCAAAGACTCTGCAACAACTGAGCTGGGCAACTGACACACGGATCTATATATATGGTACGAGATTGCCAGTTACAGCTCCGAGCGCTAGCTAGCGAATGAAAGCAAGGGATCTGATGGTGTCAGCAATGCATAGTGCAATACATAGTAATACATAGTGATTTGTGTAGGGGGAAGTCCGTCTACTACGCTACATAGTAATACATAGTGATTTGTGTAGGGGGAAGTCCGTCTACTACATACCTGTATACATAATACTGAGACTTCGGGTATAAGGACACTTAGCGAATAAGGACACTTTTATGATGCCCCGCCGAGTGTGGTTGTACCCAAAGTTGACTGTAGTCCGTAACATACAGCAGCTTGAGAAAAGACCATCTCCTCTAAAACTTGAATCAAGCAGTAATGCATTTCAATGGATCCTTTACTTCACTGCTTAGCATTCCAAGCCCAAGTACTACCCAACATCAATGCAGCTTTATAGCAAGTGATGCCGATGTGATACCATGATCATAAAGTAATGAAATTGAGTGTGCTCAAGATTCTAAGCATTCGATGGTCGTCAGTGAATCTTCATTGGATGTGGCAAACGCGAACGAAGCAGAGTACATGCATTCGTACTGCCTTGCATATCTCCAATACTATGCACTATGCAGAAGCGGTGCGCCTTAACCTGCTATGTCAGCCGTTACTCTACTTTGCTTACCTCTTGTGGCATGGTGGTGGTGGCCTAGCACGAGTGACAATTCCTAAGCTGGTTGAGTCTCTAAATACAATTGTATAGCCGGTTGTAACACGGACGTGCGAACTTTACGTTTACTGTAGTTTTTACCTCTTGTGTGCTGTGTACTAGGTACATCTGTTCACCGCCGGCCTTGGCAAGCGGTCCCACAACACTAACTTGTCAGAACAATAGTCAGTGGAGTAGTCCACCACCGATATGTGACGGTAAGGACTCTACAAGCACAGCACCCCTCCTCTCTAGCTGAGACAGTCGTGTATAGAACCGATACGGCCTGGGTAAATCCGCCCAGCTGTCCCATTGTCTCAGGACCTCTGTTTTGAACAGGTTGTCTGCTATCTGATGATTGCCTGGTGCATGAAACTCGGACTAACAACACATTTTTCATCCTCTTGTTTGAAGTAGCTCGGCCCTTTGGCATTGAACACTATACTGGACAGCCTGGAACCTCTCTGTTTTTTTCCGTTTCCAGTTCCACTGGTGGGCTGCAACTCCACAACCGACTGCAAGGACGTGTCCGGTCACCCTACATTTACTGAGTGCTGTTCATACGGTACAGAGTCGTTGGGATTATCCTGCTGCCCGACTACGTAAGTCATTGTTTATCTGGCTATCATTTTGAGTCGCACACTGGACCCTTGAGTTTAGCAGCACTGTATAGATGATGTCATCCATTGCTTGTCTCAAGCCCGATATAGCAAGCTTTTGACTGTGAGCCACACGGCCCTAAAAATAATCTTTTCCGTGCGACCCACACCGCATTTCCGTACCATTGCACCAATCTGTATGCACTTGAACATTTGTTTGTCCTTGCCCGAATGGACTTGCTCGCTCTCTTCTATGTGAGCGCCTTGCTCTGCAAGCACGCAGTGCCCATACTGCAGCTTTTACCCGTCGTCAAATCTCTACTGTTGTTATTCTACACTCTGCTGCCACCCGATATGGTTTCAGTGCAATTTCCTCCCCGGATGCTGATAGGGGTGTATGCACTGTCACTAGATTGCTGCCTTTTCTAGCTGACCAGCTGAATTTCATATACCAATCAAGTCATGTCTAGGGGTCCCTGTACAACGGTGATGACACCTGTTTGAAGTCTCCCTGCCCGTCCCTAGTTTAATAGCAATAATTGAGTAGGAGGGGGGAGGGGTCCCTTTTCCATCCCCTAAACTAGTGAGTACTTGAGTAGAAATATAAATACACTCGGATGGTCCTCGGTCCTTTCTTCTTAGAAATATATTTCTATATAGTACTGTGTTTGCCCACATTTATATTGTGGAGTATTAACATTCTACTCCCCATGCTAGAGTATAGAGTAGACACACACGCGTGCAGGACGCGACACACCAAAAGACAAGAGAGTGAGTTTGGAAGAATGGGAATGTCGGGCAGAGTAGCTGGCCTCAATTGAGTGCGCGTTAACGAATCGTGTGGTCGGCCTACCGAGGGCAGGAGCTGTATATGACCAAGTGGGTCGGCCTGCGCTGAGCAGGAGCGGTTTGTGACCCATGCGAGTTGGTGGGTCGGCCTGCGTTGAGCAGGAGCGGTTTATGACCCATGCGAGTTTAATAGTAGTGCGCGAGAGGCCAGTTACGGAGGAGTGCCCGCATCCATGTGTTTCAAAATATATGGAGTGGAGTGCAAGAGTAAGAAATGGGATGAGTAGGGTGGGTCAGAATTTGAAAGCTGACTGCAGGCAAGGAAACTGGAAAGACAGCAAGCTCTGTTGTGCGCGCAGGAAATCTGCGCATGCGCAGAGCGTGGGCATGTGATGTCTATGATACACAGCAGTATGTAGAGAGAGCAAGATTGTGCACACATGTAAGGAGGGTTATGCAACCCGTTATAAAGGCCAACAGCGAAGCAATGGTATGTGACTGTTAACAACGGTTAACTCCAACATTAACCAAACATTTAACATTCTACTCCCCATGCTAGAGTATAGAGTAGACACACACGCGTGCAGGACGCGACACACCAAAAGACAAGAGAGTGAGTTTGGAAGAATGGGAATGTCGGGCAGAGTAGCTGGCCTCAATTGAGTGCGCGTTAACGAATCGTGTGGTCGGCCTACCGAGGGCAGGAGCTGTATATGACCAAGTGGGTCGGCCTGCGCTGAGCAGGAGCGGTTTGTGACCCATGCGAGTTGGTGGGTCGGCCTGCGTTGAGCAGGAGCGGTTTATGACCCATGCGAGTTTAATAGTAGTGCGCGAGAGGCCAGTTACGGAGGAGTGCCCATGCCGACATTCCCATTAGGGCCAGAGGAGATAGCGGGTGATAACAGCCAATATAGATGGTAAGTATGTATTGCACAAGAGCGTTGTTCTAGAGGCATAAAGTCAGACTGATATTGTGGAGTAGGATCGACAAAGAACGCTATCTGCATCCTAAGTGAATGTCTTTGCACTTACTCGGTGATCGGCTGGACCATGGTGTCAGGCCGCTCCGCAGCTGTAGGAGCAAAGGTCCTGAAGGCATCCATCTTGTTCCGGGACAGGGCATCAGCGATGGTATTGGAAATTCCTGGCAGGTGCGATGCTCGGATCAGGAAATTGTGCTTCACACAGATTGAGTACAGGGTGCGGATGAGTGCCATGACTGCAGGGGACCGGCTCGTGCCCGTCTTCAGGCACTCCACGACAGCTTGGTTGTCGCACTGAAACTCCACACACAGCCGCAGCCACTCGATCCCCCATGTGGCGCAGGCCACGACAATGGCGAAGAGCTCCTTGTAGGTAATGCTTAGTTCCAGTTGCTGCGGAGACCAGTCACCTCTGAACCAGCGACCATTGAAGAAGGCTCCAAATCCAATGGTGCCACTTGCGTCGGTTTGCAACTGGAGGTCAGCGCTGGGCATCCACTTCTCTAGCAGGAAAAATGACTTTCCGTTCCATGTTGACAGGGTCTGGTGCCACCAGCTCAGGTCGCCCTTGGCTGAGGCTGAGAGGTGCAGCATTCGGTGAGATGACATCTCAGATGTGGCCTTGTCGAGGTCATACAGGCGGCGTAAGAATGTACGGCCGGCAGGAATTGCTCTGGAAGCGAACGAGAGGTGGCCCAGGAGGGAGGCGAGTTCGCGTTTGAGAACGCAACCCTGGTCGAGGGTGGTAGAGACTAAACGACGTAGGGCCAGAAGCTTGGACTGAGGCAGACGCACTTCCAAGCGATCGGTGTCCAGTTCCAAACCGAGGAAGGTGAGGACAGTGGAAGGGCCCTCAACTTTCTCTGTGGCGACAGGTATGTTCAAGAACTGGAACAAGTCCAAGATGATGGCCTTGTGCTTGGCCGCCAGGGAGGAGCTTGGTGGGCAGATGTCGAGGAAGTCATCAAGGTAGTGCATTACGTCGGGCAAGGAGCCGACATGGACAAGGACCCAGTTGATAGCCGTTGCCAGCTGGTTGAAGATGAATGGTGAGGAGCGGAGACCAAATGGAAGGACCTTCTCGTAATATCAGAATTTGAAAGCTGACTGCAGGCAAGGAAACTGGAAAGACAGCAAGCTCTGTTGTGCGCGCAGGAAATCTGCGCATGCGCAGAGCGTGGGCATGTGATGTCTATGATACACAGCAGTATGTAGAGAGAGCAAGATTGTGCACACACGTAAGGAGGGTTATGCAACCCGTTATAAAGGCCAACAGCGAAGCAATGGTATGTGACTGTTAACAACGGTTAACTCCAACATTAACCGAACATTTAGCCGGGAGCTAACAAAACCATGCCACATGTAATCTGGAAATACTAGTACAGTACGGTTCGGCTATAGCGTTGGTGTTTGATTTTCGTGAAAATAACACTATAGGCGATATAATTATTACTACAGGCGATATGCATACTTAGGTATGCCTGACACATGCGTGTTTGGTGTCATTCGAATCAGTGCAGCGTGCAGAAGCATGCTGTGCATGTGCAGTACGCGGCGGAGACCACGGACCGGTAGCGCTTCAGCGCTGGTACTAGTGGTAGTACTCATTACTGCCTCCGCTCTCGCTCGAGGATGCCCTGGGACAATAAGCACAGCCAACGCCAAACATTTCGAATTTCCTCCGAGGGATATCAGATTCATAGTCGTACCAGCGCTTCCTGACTGCCGCAATCAGATCTCGCCATGTAGATCTACGATATAACTTTTTTATGATCATCACTACAGCCGATGAAAAATGTATGCAATAAAATCATTTTGACAAAGAAATCGTATCATTATAGCCGATTATTACTATAGCCGATCCGATATGTATAGAAAGGGGTGGTTTACGAAAATGAATTTGAGAATACGATCACTATAAGAGGTATATTACTATAGCCGACAACCCTATAACCGATCCGCACTGTACTTTCAATCAATGTCATGACACCAGTTCTTAGTTGACTTGCGTATGACATCTGCGTATGCTAGTGGATTGAGTGAAGCGTTCGAGTTTGGAAATTATGATTTAAATTCTAGCGTTGTGTGATGTATATTAGGCTTTGTGCCGTGCGTGAATGTCAAAATGCATATCAGCACCGGTTGGCTTCGTGTGCATTTTGTTCCCTGCAGCACAAAGTCAGTTCTGTCTGCGCGCTTTGATGGCCTGGCGGGACAGTGCTTGGCCGACATGACTGCTGCGTACAGCTCTTGCTCCAACCAAGTGGTCCAGTGCCTGAGTGAGCCCGATGGCCTGTGCGGACTTGAGGTAGGCCAAGTTCAATAAACATCTACACTGTTGCCCCACTAGGGATCATGGTATGGATGCTTGCTGGTACACACCACTGGATATGCTTGCACCTGTAGCTGTGTCAGTGCGCCAGAGCAGAGTAGTAATATTATAACACAAATGACATTTTCAACTGGGTAACAACTAACCTCCTGAAACACGCAGCGCTCACACTGTGCCCTAACAAACATGGTCAACTTGTACTGATATTCTGATCGTAACTTGCATGATTGGAAAAGCTGCCGAGTTCCCCGCCAACTTGCACACATCATGCAAAGTTTGTTCGTCTGTGGAGGAACAAGACGTGTGATGCAGCAGTGGTCCTTGAGTTGAGTGGTGTCTCAATGTAAGTAATCAGTCTCTCAGCACTGGGTGTACCTTAGTACTGATATTATCCTATGGGTGACTGCATTAATCCCCACCAACTTGCACACATCGAGTTGCGCTTGAAGTCCAGTCACTGCAACGAAGTGAATGTAAACGGACAGCGACGGGGACCGAGAGGGAAGAGAATAAATTGTAGTCAAACATAATAAACCCAAAATTGAGCGGTGTTGAGCACTTTCAGCACACCGGGTGCATCTTCCGGCAATATTATAACAGAGAGACATGTTCCGGGCTGAAACATTTGGAAAGCATTGCACTGATGCAAATGATTTTCTGTGCTGTTGATGCCATGTAGCTGTGCGCCGGCGAATTGCGCAAGTGAGTGAGAACGTGTGTGGGGTGATCAGTACTCTGCTGACGATAAGAGATCTTTATGACACTAACAAAAGCACAGCAGAAGTGAGAAAACGAGGAAAGGGTGGTGTGGTCATCAGATGGAGTGTGCGCCTCATGACATATTGCAGTAAACCTTAGCTGGTTGTGAGACTAACCACCACACTCTCTTTGCTAAAAGGTGTTGTCACTCTCTCTGCTAGGCACTGCATCTACCACTGTTGTGTCTCAGGCATAGTGGTGACCTGGCACGAGGAGAAAGGGAGAAAACGAAAGAAAGTGAGAGATGTGCTCCCGTCCACGTGCGCTGGGCTGGAAACTTTGCCAGTATTGCGTGGAACAGGTCCTGAGCTGCTAACGCTCTGCATGTGGTAACCAGGAAGTCACACGTGTGTGCGTGAAAGGTGCAAACTCATAGTGCATAATGACCATAGCTTTAGGGTAGGCAAGAAGGAACACTAGAACGTTAACGAATTCTCTACAATGCTGATAAAACAAGGAAAGGATGGTATCATTATCAGATTGAGCGTGTAGCTTATGAAGTACTGAAAGAAACCCACACCATATGGTCGCGCAAACTAACGCCGAACAGGTGTGAACTCAAGTGGAAATTAACAAAACAGGGCTGCTCGGGCAGTTCTGATTTCATTAAACTTGTTTCAATGTGAAAGAAGTGAGTTGACTTTCAATGACTGTCTGTCTTCTGTGAGGAAGTCTTGTGTTTGTATTAAGAGAAGCTACTGTGCTAGAAATTCTGTGCATCAATGTCTTCTGGAGCAGATGATTCTGCTGGTGTTGTAATTGATTCCGGAGATCAAGCCGGATCTGAACAAGGTCCCGCTCCATCGGGAAGTGTGCATCCGATGGCTTCTCCATTCCCTGGTTCAGGTATTGATGGCAGTAACTCATCTGATGTGGAATTTCGGGAAGGTTCAGTTGAAAGGCCAAGAGTGGTCAAGGATTCTGCCAATACTTCTCCTGATGTGGCAGGGCTGCAAGAAGACGCTGTCCTCGCGGAAACTGTGGACCAGTATACCGGCAGTGACCAACCCGGAGCAACAGGGCTGCAAGAAGGTTTATTTGTGACGAAAGAAGGTTCAGTTGAAAGTCCAATAATAGTGGTCAAGGACTCTGCCAATGCTTCTATTGATATGGCAGGGCTGCAAGAAGACGCAGTCGTCATGGAAACTGTGAACCAGTGTACCGGCAGTGATCAACCCGGAACAACAGGGCTTCAAGAAGGTCTAGTTATGACTGAAACTGGGGAGAGTGAAACTGACAGAGATCAAACCGATGCAGCCAGGCTGAAACCTTTTACTGCCATGCTCCAAAATGTGGACCAGGATATTTTCAGGAATTCTCCTGATGCACATGAACCAGTTCTAACACAAATCGTACATCCAGCTACAATCCTCACCCAGATACCAGTGGAATTGCTGCCAGCTCTAAAACACATCGTGCAGCCAGCTACAACCCTCACCCAGATACCATTGGAATTGACGGAAGATCCATCCGTAGATCCGATTGCAGTCGTGGAAACTGTGGACCAGTGTATTGGCAGTGATCAACCCGAAGCAACAGGGCTGCAAGAAGGTTTAGTCATGACGGAAACTGTGGACCATTATGCTGGCAATGATCAACCTGAAGGCATAGGGCCACAAGGAGGTTTATTTGTGACGAAAGAAAAAGGTTCAGTTGAAAAACCAATAGTGGTCAAGGACTCTGCCAATATTTCTCCTGATGTGGCAGGGCTACAAGAAGACACAGTCGTCATGGAAACTGTGGACCAGTATACCGGCAGTGATCAACCCGGTGCAACAGGGCTGCAAGAAGGTTTAGTGATGACGGAAACTGAGGAGACGGAAATTGCCAATGATCAAACCGATGCAGAAAGCATTGGCAGAAATTCTCCTGATGCGCAAACACAAATTGTGGATCCAGCTACAATCCTCACCCAGATACCAAAGGAATTGGGAGAAGATCCATCCATAGATCCGATTGAAGTTGTCCGTGATAAACGATCACTTCTGGAATTCTTAGTCAGGTGGTGTGTACTCGCTAATGAAATGCCATGTCCTGTATGTCAACGTGAGATGGTATTCTCCGCAGATTCAAGTAACGTGGACGGGTTTATTTGGGTATGTACTACAGAGGCGTGCGCAGAGACGTTGGAAGGAAGGTATACATGTAGTGTTTGTAGTTCGTCTGACATATCCGATGTCGAAGGAAGTCTTATGGATCTGGTTTCTGCTTTCCTTTCGCTTTTAGACTACAAGACTGCGGCTAACCTTGTGCAAGTCCCTACGGCTGGCTTCTTGCCCCTCTTGCCATGGATTACTCGGCGTTGTTGTGACTATTTTCTTCTTCAATTGACGTTCTCTCGACCAGAGCGCCCAGTAGTTCTTCACATCCTGGAGCAATCTAGACCTACGCAACCCAATAGAGTTAGTTTCCTTCTGGTGGAGAGTCGTTCACATAGGGCCATAGTAGGTTTTCGAGAATCAGTTGTTCAGATGCTAGAACTTGTGGACGACTATTGCGAAGTACCGGTTAAAATCATTTTAAAAGGTTCATGCTTTGAGAATTCTACACTTGCTTCGGTTGATTTTCCTCTGATCGACATTGACAATAAGTCATTGATTGACAAATTGAAATACCGAGAAGCCTACGAGAGTGCAGTGGGCTCTTTTTACGAGGAGGTGCATGATCTGCAGGTTCGAGTCCATAGTCAACTCGGAGTGGAGCTTCAGTTTGTTGACGCATGCGTTTTGTTGTGCATGCAGCGAAAGTACCCGAGCCGAAGCTCGCTATTTAAAATCAATCCATTTATTGGTTTGATTTGTGGTCTTGGCATAACCAAGTTTTAATATTAATCTTGCCAATTTCCAGCATAGCGAGAGTGTCTATTTCATCCACCGAAAAGCCCTGTGGGGATTTCTGATTGCTATGTGTCCGTTATAATGTTATTGTTTTGTTGTGTTTTGTTCTGTGCGCAATTTGTTTCACACTGTTCTGTACATAACAGCATCATTTCGATTCGAATTGACTTGCCAACAAGAAAAGACGACGCGATAACTGTTGGATAGGGGTGCTCTGAGAAGTTCAGTCTGTGCATACTTAAGTTTGATTGCACCCCCTCTCCACATGCACTAGGCAACAGAGACATAGATCACAAGGGCAAAAGCATACCAATTGAGGGGTAGTTGGCCGCAGCTAGATGGTCCAAACTGTTTCTTGAAGCTTTTTGATGTGAATGAGGGTTTGACTTGCTGTTATTTGGGATCAGGGCCCTGGTTTAGAAGATCTCCTCATCTCCCTGATTTCCACCTGCATATGTTTTGCAGTTTCACGTGCATTCTTTCCATGTCTTTGGGCGCCCTGGAGGTGGCCGGCCTGTTTGCATCAGATGTTGGCCGGGGCAATTGCAAAGCCAACGTAGATGCAGATTGCGCCGACAAAGACAAGATCGGCATCCATGTCAAAGGCACGGGAGAAGAAGATGAAGAAGATCTTCATGTTCGAGTCTTCCTGGAAAGGGGTTCGTTGAAGGAAAATCATACAGAGACGGAGAAAAATCGATCCACACTGGTGAGACTGAAGATCTGACTGAAGCCATGAAAGGGAACAACGATAAAGAAAACATCAGATGGGGTATTTGCAACAGAAACATGTCGCACGAGACACCATTTCTTGCCTATCTCTCTAAGCTCGGCCAGCGAAAAACGAAACTATACGCAATCGGGACAAAGTGCATATAGCACGGAAAGAATATTTACCTTTCCCAAAGAACACTGGTTCATTGTTGGCTTTTCCACAATACCAAGAAACTACAAGTTACGCTATCATGTTCACTGACACCACCCGTTACTAAACAATCAGCTCATCATACTTGCTAGATAGTCAATTTTAGTGTTAGTGGACATTAGGGCATAGCTTTTAGTTTCTTGATCCTTTTTTCTTTACTATAAATTTATCCTTGGCTCTCCATGCGAGCCCATTTTTCCACATTCCAGGGCTTCAATAGACAAATTCAGGAATATCAAAATGCATCCACGTCCGGCAAGTCCTGTTTTGCTGAATGCTATTTTCTTCCTTTTGTTTAAATAGTGTTTGGTGTGCATCTTTCCCTCAAACCAGTGAATATTTTTTTAAGTTTATTCTTCAATATAATCTATTCTCTTTCCTCTCGGTCCCCGTCTCTGGCCAGTTACATTCACTTCGTTGCAGTGACTGTACTTCAAGCGCAACTTGATGTGTGC